TTCATTTATAATAAAGAATTCCATGTAGAGACATTTAGAATTTATTTATTACCCTTTTGGCACTGTTTCCCTAACACAGTTGTTTGGCGAATGTAATATTGCGCTAGGTGGCTCAAACCAAAAGCGCTATTTTCTCACCACTGGTCGCTCGTGTTCGTTGATTTTACCAAAAAATTGGCGCTCCCGTAGTGTGTGAACCAAGATAGCGGACACCGGAACATAGTATGTGTACCACGTTAAGTTTAGGTCATAATTTTATTTCAATTTTTCTTATTTTAGTTGAATTACGAGTTCGGGGACTAGCCAAGTGACTCCCGTAGTATTTGTACCTGAAATTATAGCCTAACCTTAACCTGTTCTACATAATTAAACCGTTTTTTGTGTGTGTAGTGCAGTGATTTGGATAAACTGCCTCACGTAGTCCAGTAGTTCTACATGTTGTCACCCTATGTTTTGTCAGTTTATCCAATCTTCTGTGTCTTTTTTTTTGTAGGTTTTGGATAATACTAATTTCATAATATTACAAACACAATAAGCAGAAATAGTACAAGGATTATTGTATATGAATTTACTAGTTAATTGAAAAAAATGTACCAGAAATTGAAAAATCACAATGAAAGATGGAGATTCAGCACATAGAATAAAACACCATGAAATAAAATTTAGAAAAGCATAGTCTAAATTCGAACGTAACACGATAAGAAAAATAAAGAGACCAAACATTAATTCAACATACAAAATATTCAAGTACAGAATATGTCTTAATTGGGAAAGTAATTTAACTCTATTCCAAGATCCCGACTACGGTGTTTCAGTTGCTTAAAATTCGACTCGGCACCAGCAAGTTTAAAATTGAGAACCCAGTTCAAACATTTATTCTATTAAAGACTCTACTATGGCAACCATAATCGGAATGCTCCTGCAGTCAAACTTTGTGCTGCCCGGGGTGAGTTTCTGATAATGATGCCCCTTAAACCTAACTTCAAAAATAATTTGGGGATAAACAAATTATTATAGATGTTGTTATACAATATCCATGATAGTAAATGAATTAAAGGCCAAGTAAGAGTAAAACGTTTGTATTATTATTATTATTTAAATTATCAAACTAAGCAACAAACTCATCCCTACAACGCGCTGCCCGGGGTGGCTGCCTCGGTTTAAGTTATGATACTTTATTTAATTATCGAAGAACGAATTAGCATGAGAAATTTGAACCATGTTGAGGTCTAAGTATTGTGTAGAGAAAGAGAGTGAGTAAGAAAACTTCCTATAAATATAACAAAATACTTTTCACGTTTTCTACAGTGTCCACACGCCTCAAACCAACTCATCTCTTTGAATCCGCGACCAAGCCGTCTTTACACACCTCAGACTGATATGTTCGTTTGAATTCGTATTGAGTCCACTCGTCCGTGGAAGAATAGTTAACTTGGTAGGCACGTCACCATCACCAATCTTACTTTGTTTCTTTGGGAAGAAAACGCTCACTATTTTCCACCTGTCGTTGAATGTCATTAATACGCAAATAACATTGATAAAACTTACTACGTCTGCTCCTGTCGCACTAATTGAAAGAGGAAAGGACCCTGGAATCAAACGGATAAATACTGCAAGGAATAGGATGTCAGAGACAACAGCAATGCATGTCCAGGTTAACATACGCCGAAATATTTTTTGTATATTGCTAGACCTTGAAGTTTCTGCCTTGCACAAAAGTTTTCTCCACTTTGACCCACTATATCTTGATTTGAATTCCATGGTGTTCTTCACAATTGGGTAGGCGAGCAGGCCAAGAAGGACGAATTGGGCTAGAAACATTGGGAGGTACAATATAGTATACAAGGGTCTAATTTTGTTTTTAATATATACACAACCCTGAGATACTCGCTCGTAACGATCAAATACAATGAAAATATTTATAACTGGAATCAAATGCGCAGAAAGCATCGCAAATATTCCCCAACTCAAGAAATTAATGAATTTTCCTGTAGTGAGACTTTTTTCATAAATTATTCTTTGTCTCACCCATAAGAAGGAATAAGTAAGATATGTAATGATCACGTAATAAATCTTTGCCACACCATTGACCGTATAACATAAAAAGAAAGTGTTTGCTCCCCGGAGTGCCTGGATGTAAACTAGTCCGATCAGAAATTTTGGAAGGAGGACGCCTTGAACAATTGTAAAAAGAATGTGCAAAACTCTACCACTGAAAAATGTTGTCGTTTCGCCGTTTTCCTTCCATTTTCCATTCTGAATACAGTAGACAATGAAACTCGCTAACATCCAGCAGGATAGTAAAAAGAGAATTGCTTCAACTGCATGTAATAACGCCAGTATTACACTAATCACAGAGGCGTCCGAATCTCCATCGTTGAAGTTGAATGTTTGATTCGAAGCGATAGTTGAATTCACTTCTATAAAAGTGTAGTTAGTAGCAGATTCATTGGAATTACGACTGCCATTGCTTAGCACCTCTGTAGATTTGCTTCCAAAATTCATTTTGTTTTTATACTTTTTAATCAAACGAAGAAAATATAAATACCTAATTCAAAGACGTACAAGTAGTACAAAATTTTCACTAGAATTGAAGTTTCATACGATGACTGATGAAAGTGCCAGAACATTAACGACAAGGCAATATATATGTGATGAAACACATGCGTTAATTATTGTTATTATGTAATAATGCATTCGTAACATCCTATTTAATCAGTAATTTGTTAGCGTTACGTACAGAAATTTTGTTTTTAAATATTCGAAGATGCTTTTATTCTATTATTAATGACTGTTTCTCACATGTTTTAAGTATTACTAATTATTTATTTAAGCTGAAATCTTCTTGTCGGTTTATTGGACACGAAATGAACCTATAGATCGTTTTGTTATTATGTTGTTGTTGATTATCATGTTGTTAGTATTTTTTTCTTTTTTTTTTGCTGTCAAAATCGCTAACTATTTAACTGTTGGACCAAATGCTTTAAAATTTTCAAAGATTGTATTTTGCACTAGAAGGCTATTTTTTTTTAATTTATTTCAATATTTTTGTGGGCTCTATGGGATTTGTTTTTTGGCGCTCTAGAAGTATGTGCACCAAGATGGCGCACAACATGATAACCCCAACCTGGTACACAATATACTATGGTCAGGTTGTGCGCCATCCTGTGCACCCAATTCGGGAGCACCGGTTTCTGTGTGCGATTTCGTCATCGAAAATTGCTCACCTTGTGGCAGTTTGCGGTACGTGTTTAAATTCGTGTCGATATATTTGAGCATTGTTCTCTTGTTAATAATATTGATCGAATACTTTACAATTCAGCCACCAAGATTTCAGTTGTACAATTTTGATATGTCCGTTTTCCTTTTCTAATGCATTACATAAAAATTGCTGCATAAGCCTTGCAGATAAAAACATAATTTGACATTATTTGATTCAAGCCGGAAAAGAAATCAGTGATTCGAAAGTCCGGTGAGGAATAGGGAATCTCGCACATAACTATCTCCCGTGGGATTTGACCCTGTGAACCTACGCAGGATAATCAGAGGTGCAGTGGCGATCGTTTATCTAACGCTTAGCACGATGCGCCCACCGCCGAGTCACGGGAATATGTAATTCCATTCAACACTCAAAGAAAGGCATGGTAGCTGACGTTTGGGGCAAGTCACATATCGCATTTGACAGAGAATTTTCGTTACTTATACAGTAATAATATTCGATAACAGAATCTTTGTATTATTCAGTTTAATATTGATATCACTGTTGTAATAATGTTATGCTATTTAATTAACATATTCATATGTTACCTAGCAAATCATTCAGCGTTCTATTCTTTGAAATTTTGTTGATTTGCTTTCATATTATTAGAAACAAATGTTTTTACGACACCTGTGGGCTCGTTGATACCGTAATGATTTGAGCGTTTCCATCGCCTGATCTGTTAAGCCGAAAAATATTGGATTTCAATTATCGCAACTAAAATTTCGGCGGCTGAATGGTAATGCTGTTGAGCAATATTGCTAGTTAGGATAGGATTTGCACATTTATCTCGGAGAAGATGAAAGCCGATTAGACGGCTTAATCATATGGCGAACCGGTTACACCCTAAAGCGGTGAGGAGTCTAGCAATCCTCTCGCACATAATCAACCCCGCATGGGACTCGAACCTTGCGAACCAACGCAGGGTAATCGGAGATGCGGTGACGAGCGTATTCGTAACGCGAAATATTTTTATTTCCACAAAACAATGTTAAAAAGGACAACAGTACAGATTATGTAGACAATATGAAATTATAAAATAAAGACAGAAAATGAGACGGCTGTTAAAATAAATTTTTTTTACTATTCGACAATTTACATCAGATTTATTGTATAGTTCAGAGGGCATGTGTAAATAGTTAAGAGGACATGTGTAATGCTTAGCACGATGCGCGTCACACCGACGATTTAGCAAGATTAGGAGTTTTTATTGTAAATAAATAATTAGTAATCCATAATACATGTGGGAAACAATCATCAATATTAGAATGGAAACATCTTCGAATATTTCAGAAGAAAATCACTGTATTTAATTTATCTGTTCCTGCTTATAACCACCACTTTCTTGTCGAAAATAAAATTCCGAGAACGATACCATTCGCAATTCCGAACAAATCATCTTTCATTTTAGTAATGTAAAGTCGATGATCGAAGCAGCACACCTTATAATTATATTGTCATAACTCCACATTTTTTTTGTTTTTTCAATGTATTTATACCGTTATATTCTGATATTACCATCAATGCGAACATTAAACAAAATCATTCCTCAAACCGCCTTGTGGTTGGAAAAGTTCGTGGGGCGATAGTATAGGTTCAAAGGTTGGAGTGCTCAAAAGAGAATTCTGAGGGGTGCACTGCGACCTGTGTGCAAGATGTCTCAATTCCGTTTGTCATTGGAATTTATTTGGCACAAAAAAGAAAGATTACTCAACAAAGGCAAACGGCAGAATTTAAGTATTTAATTTTTTTGTTACTTCCAGAAATTTAGATAGAACAGATACTGCACCTAATAGGTTCAATTCTAATAATTGAATGGCTGAGTTAACTGGCGTTGTACAAACACAGAAAAAAAAGAAACCTTGGTTGGGGCAACCAGCTCCCCCCGGATATGTCCCTGGCCTCGGGCGTGGGTATGTTTTTAATTTAATTGCATTGACATCAGTTTGTTTTAATGATTGAATGATTCGTCATGTATGTGTGTTTCAATAGTTCACAGTTTAACCAATATATCCAATGGTTTTATTGTCTGTATTGGGGTCTCTCTCCTATCGGGATCGTTGCGACGACTGGACGAGAAAACAAGAGCAATGGCTGTTCGATTTCGGGTTCTCGTCTGCGCGTCTTGGATGACAGTTCGCATAATTTGAAGGGCTCTATTACGTCACTGTGACTTCGTAGTGACGTAATTTTTAGCTGGTGTGGTCAGGCCTGTATTGCGTACCGTCAGACCGTAGAACTTGCTAACACCATTTTGAAAAACTATGCAAACTTAAAACTATGCTTTGAAAAAACAAGAACGAATTTGCTGATTATCTTGACACTCCAAGGACGGGTTCGCACGAGCCCCCTGAATTCCACCACTGATTAAACAGTCAGTTATACAGTTACACTACAACTACTGGACTATAATCAGCCCGACGAAATCTTTTTTTTTACATCATGATAAATATTGTTTACTGTTTTGTTTTGTTTTTATGTCAGAGTACCGAAATAAATGATTGATTGATTACTCTTATTTACAAAATCTATATTCAATTTTTCAACTTCTATAAAGTTATTAAAATGGTGTGGCAAACAATTCCCTGTTTTTTATTACAATTCTTGTTTTGGGTCCTGTATAGTTTAATAGTGCAAATATGTCTAGTAGGCATGGCTCAACAGTTTTCGCATATGTCATTTCTAACCCCCACCTAACTATGTCATCCTGAGTGACATCACTATGATGGCACAGTGACGTAATAAGGCCCGCCGAAATATTCGGGCAGCTGTCCAGAATGTGCTGGGGATCACCCAAAATCGAGAGGGTTACGTCATATACGTTCCCTCCTTTTCTCGTCAAAAATCCTCATATGAGAGAGATTGATAGGGTTAATGAGTTTGTTATCACCTGGCGCTGACGCCATTTTGAGCGATGGTACATACAATTTTGCAAGCTGTATGACATGAATGTAATGTTGTAGTGACATAATTTATGGATGGTGTAGTCAGGTTGGGGTTAGGAATAGGATTGACATGAGCAAAAATCATTATGCTACGCCCACTGGAAGTACTTGAGGTACGAAACTACACAAGACCCGATGTAAAATATCTGCAGATTACATGGCCTGCGTACTCCTGTCACACACAATATCTTTTCAAGGATAATGATAATTTCATTCAAGGCTTAAGCGGAAATGTACAAAATAATTTATTTGGAATTGGTTAACTTCCGTGATATAAAATATTTAATTTTGGGAACATTTGGATTCCCATTTTCAATTTTTTTACTTTTTATCTTCAACATTGATAAAAAAAAGATGAATTATTTTCACAACTTTTATATCATATTTTCAGAGCTACAGGTTTCACTACGAGATCTGATATTGGTCCAGCTAGAGATGTTAGCGATCCAACAGATGACCGCCATGCCCCTCCTGGCCAGCGAACATTCGGAGATCAAATGAAAGCAAAGAAACCAGAGGATGAAGAAGAAGATCTCAATGACTCAAATTATGATGAGGTAGCAATTGAAATAATTGCTTTCTTTTTGGCACTCCCTATGTGAACCAAGATGGCGTACACTATAACGTAATATGTGTACCAGGTTAGGGTTGTGCCATAATTTCAAGTCCAAATACTACGGTAGTCACTTGGCTGGTCACCGAAATCATAATAGAATTCAAATAAGGAAAATTGGCATAAAATTATTGCCTAACCCTAACTTGTTCAGGTGTCCACCATCTTGGTTCACATACTACGGTAGCACCTTCTTTTTTTTCAAATGTTTACCTGAGATACAAACTCAAAATGCACTGGTCGTTTATGGCTTTCTCCGCTATCAAATAAATGGCTAACTATTCCCATATTAGACATGGACTGGTAGCTTGACGAGAGGATGTGATCTGACACATGGTTGAGCTGTCTTATCAACTATATTCTTTCCTGAAATAAATATGAAAAATCCATTTATCGCTATATGACGCATTATGGCGTGCTAAGCATTAGGTTTACGCTCGCCACTGCACCTCTGATAACCTTGCGTGGGTTCGTAGGTACGAATCCCATGCCATGCGGGTTGATTATGTGTGAGAAGGATTGCTGGCTTCCTTCCGAACATGGACTGGTAACCGGACGAGAGGCTGTGGTATGCCATATGATTAGTCTGTCTTATGGCTTCCCTATTCCTCGGGATATATATGTACTGTAAGTCCTATTCTATAAGTATTGTTGCAGTTGAAACTTTTACAGACTAACAAAATCCATTTCTAGAAAATAAGACATAAACTAGTTTGAATTTACTACGATGATATATGTAGACGTTATCACTTTTACATATTATGCTATGATGAAGTTTTTGTTTGTATGGAAATTCAAAACGTCTGCAAATTGCATGTTTTATTGACACCTTGAACGTTTTATATAAGTTTATTTCGACTCCTTAATCAGCATAACAATAAAATGATTGATAAAAACAAATAAAAAAAATGATTGTGGAATCAGGAGAGCGAACAAAACCTTAGATAAGGTTTAAAACATACAAAATATAAGATGGAAGGTTTTGCCAAGAAGAATTGGTATGTGTTCACCCACCTAAAATTATTAAACTATTTCACACACGCACCCACCACACACACAGAGAACCACAGAGGAATTATTTAAGTAAAAAAGAAAACGCGACCTAACTTGTCCTAATATATTTTATGTAACGAGTAACGACTCTATTATACTCCTGTTTCTAAAACACAATCTGTATTTCAGTTTACTGGATATGGAGGAAATTTATTTGCATCTGCTCCTTACGAGAAAGACGATGAGGAAGCAGATGCTGTTTATGATCATCTCGATCGGAGAATGGACGAAAGAAGGAAGGAATATAGAGAGGAAAGGGAACGAGAAGAACTGGAAAAATTTCGTGAAGAAAGACCAAAAATTCAACAAATGTTCTCAGACTTGAAAAGAAAACTTGGAGTGGTAGGATCTCAAAAATTCATTCTTTTAAAAACCATACATGAGTGGCTTAGATTGACTAAGAGTTTTTGGGTCTAGTGTAGTTCGTACCTGAAGGACTTCTAGTGGGCGTAGCATAACAATTTCTTCATATGTTAATCCTAACCCCCACCTGACTATGTCATCCAAAAATTACATCATCACGACGGTGGGGGTTAGGATTGAGATGTGCAAAAATCTTTATGCTACGCCCACTAGAAGTACTTGAGGTACAAAACTACACGAGACCCGAATTTTTAATAGTCATATCGCAGTAAAAATGAAATACACCAGCAGATAGTGTTGGGGAGCTGGAACCAAGCTTACCATAATAGACGAGCTGAAGCTACCAGAAATTATTCAATTAATTCCAAGTTTAAAAATAGTTAAAAAGTGTGTGAATCAGAGATTTCGCCTGTTACTTTAGATGAGGTCATTTGTGAAACTTGCAATTAAAGTACAATATGGAGTGAAATTTTATTTCCTGTTTGGGAAGCAGAACTATTAGTATGTCATAGTAGAATTTTTGGCGCTCTCGTAGTATGTACAACAAGATGGCGGACACCTGAACATAGTATGTGTACCAGGTTAGGGTTATTTTAGTTCCTTATGTAAGTTCTATTATTATGACTCTCGTAGTATTTGTACCTGAAATTTATGGCCTAACCCTAACCTGATACACATACCACGTTCCGGTGTCCGCCATTTTGCTGCACATATCACAGGAGTACCCAATTTTAAGGTATTAGTTCTCTTAAATCTGTAATCCACAATTCTCTTGTCATTTTTTTTAGATCTCATCAGAGGAATGGGATTTGATTCCAGAAGTTGGAGATGCAAGAAACAAAAAACAAAGAAATCCAAGAATGGACAAAGTAACTCCTGTGCCTGATAGCTTCTTATCCAGAGGTCTAGCTCAGAATGGAACAGTCAACTCTGTTGATGCCAGGTTGATATTTCATATTTTTGCATTGAGCTTTGTGTAGGGGATTATTAGGCGCTCCAGAATTATGTGTACCAATATGGAGGTAATTAATTTGGTTTGCCTATTCTACATCAAGTTGTGTAAAAGGACTAATTACTATGGGCAGGGGGTATATTCACTTGGCTAACATAAACAGTCCCCGAACTCGTAATAGAACTAAAATAAGGAAAATCGGAATAAAATTATGGTCTAACCTGGAACACATGCTACGGGAGTACCGATCATTCTATGATATAGAATTAAACGTTTATGATCCATGACTTTTTTCCAAAGACACCGACCCAACACATGAGTGTTTTCATCGGTTATTTTTTGTGTCATGTTTATTAATAAAAAACTCCAACATACAGAAATAAAAATGAAAATTCATTGCAGCCAAGGAATGTGGATGGTGTTAAATGTGGGTCAAAAACAGTTATTTATAATTGATCAATCAAATATATATATACATATATGGGACCTCCTGAAGTATGCGCACCAAGATGGCGTACGACCTGAACTCGGGTTGTGTACCAGGTTAGGGTTCAGGTTATGCGACATATTGGTGCGCATACTTCAGGAGTCCCATCTTTTATTTTGTGACGATGAAACGTTCTTCAATTTGAAATCCTTGTTAATTGCCATTTTTTCTTCCTAATCCGTAATTTGTCCTTCCTATTCATGATGTAATATAAACTCTGCAGACAACAGCAATTTGGTGGCATCAACACTCCATTCCCAGGTGGCCTGAATACACCGTTCCCTGGTACAGCTACACCGGGTTGGGCAACTCCAGCTGGAGAACTGGACATGAGAAAGATTGGACAGGCTAGGAATACTTTGATGGACATGAGACTGAGCCAGGTTGGTTGGGGTTATATTCTTGGATTTCCTGAAATTGTATTATAGTTGCAAATTTGCCAGTGACTCGTATATGAAGTGTTTTTTTCTTGTATTCTGAACAAAGCTCTTAAACAACATCCTCGCAGACGGTGTTTTGCAAACTGGGTCCTAGAGGGCCACATAGCGATTCTTTGGGGTGCATAGGCGAAAGCCTTCACTGGGTATTATTTGCACTACTTTAATTCAAACTGGCTGTAATTTGTTTAATTCTTCGCCCGTAATAATGTATTTTCTTACTTCCGTTTGTTAGCTTTTCATTACAAAATGTGGCAAATAAAATAATTGATGAAAATTGTTAAACACAATAACATAGCAAACGCTTCCTTTTTTTTATCAGGTTTCTGATTCCGTCAGTGGACAAACCGTTGTTGATCCGAAAGGTTATTTAACGGATTTACAATCAATGTTGCCACAATATGGAGGCGATATTGCTGACATAAAGAAAGCAAGATTGCTGTTGAAATCAGTGAGAGAAACAAACCCAAAACATCCTCCTGCTTGGATTGCTTCTGCAAGGTAGGGACTGGGATATCTGGAAGAAAATTTTTGGTGCGGATTGTTATTTAAAATATTGTTGGGATCACTTTTATTTGTCGCTGATTATTATTGGTATTTTAGAATCGGCCAGCTTTTGCTGACAATTGGATTATTGTCTCATAAAATGTTTATAAATGCACAGAATTATGTCATTATTGGTCAACTGACCTCTGTGAGAACACCTTTACTATCAGTGAATTTAATATATTGAAAAGTTCATTCATTGTGTTGTAACGCCTAACTCAAGCTGGTCTTCCCTTTTATGTTGACTGTTTTTCTAAATTATAGAAACATTATTTTTAGATTAGAAGAAGTTACTGGCAAACTACTTCAAGCTCGTAATATTATTATGAAGGGAACCGAAATGTGTCCTAAGGTTTGTATCTTTGTTTTCAATTCCATTAATGTGACAACCATTTTGAAATTGAAGTTTTCATAATTTTTTGAACAGCCTTGATTTTATATAGATTTATGCCAATGATATCACAACGAAAATATCGGTCAGAGACCGAAGACTTATCGATTGAAAGTTAGGGGATCCCCAAAAACAGCACTCTTACTCCATAGTGACACCTTGTGTCCCATCACTAATTAATTAATACCTCGCTAATTATACCACATAATTTGCTAAAAATCAATAGGCTTTTGGTCCGAGATATGATGAATGCACATGCAAAATCTGGAGCAGATTCAATTTCGCTTTCGTGAGATATCGCATGCATCTAACAGAAATACACACAGACAGACAAATACCTATCAGCATACTTACTGATTAAAATCGATAAGTAATGAAAGAATGTTCAACAGTCATCACCCAAACCCATGTACATATTATTAAAACAGTCAACTTAGTATAAATGGATACGGTAGTTTGTAATCGTCCATAACGAGATATGCTCTAATGGCCCACCGATAGAACTGAGCATCCAACTCAAGGAAGTACTTGTTCACTTCACCTTCACAGCTGTTTGGCCATGATCAGTCAATTGTAACTGATGACATCACTTATCACGCTAAACCATCCAGAGAAACATTAGTTGCCAGAAAAATAATAAAAATACACATAACAGCAATATCCCTTATACTTCTACCTTAATTGTCTGTCCGATGTTTTTTATTACTTTATTATTAACAATGTTCTTCCCAGAGTGAAGATGTCTGGTTAGAGGCAGCGAGACTACAGCCTGCTGAAACAGCCAAAGCAGTTTGTGCGAGTGCTATTAGGCATATTTCAACATCAGTGAGAATCTGGATCAGAGCTGCCACTCTGGAAACTGATCTTAAAGCAAAGAAAAGAGTTTATCGAAAAGGTGAATTTGAGAAACAAATAATTTTGATAAACTTTTGCTTCATGTAATATAGAATTATTAGGAGTAACTAGACTTGTTGCAATCTAACATCTAAATTAACCAACGCAGTCTGATTTTCTGATCATCAAGTCATATGGGCAAAAAAGGGTTATTATTTGGATGTACTTTGTACAACTCTACAACATTTTTTCAAAAATTAATTCAAATACCGGTATGTCGAAATCTAGAGACCTAATTGTGTTTATAAATAATGATAACATATGGAAACAAGTTGATTGTGGTTAGGGTTGCCACTTCTGGATACATTTTTTTCGAATCGAATCTCGAATCAAAACTTTTCGAATCGAATCTTTCCGAATCTGATTCCATTAAGCTTTTTTTTTTTTTTTATCACATGCGTATGTTTGGCCAAACTCACAAAAAAGCTCAAATCTAGAAGAAAAAAATTTGAAAATGGAATAGGCTATATAGCAAGGGTGATGAGGGTTTTTCAGTGAATAAGCCACACTTATTTTCATCATGATAAAAAAGATGTAGGTCATAGATATCACTAATAAATGCATTGATGAAAAACTTGCTGTTGCAACTTATCTGTGAGTCTTACAATACTGAGTTATTGTGTTATACTTGTATCAGGGCTGAGGCAATTTGATGGAATTCATATGAGAAAATAAGCAGGGAACAGTTGTACTGTTATGTCGTAAACACAGTAACAGCACTGCTTTCCCTTGTCCCACACCAGTATATGTGACCGTGGTATTTCCCTTCTTGTTATATTGAATTAGGGACGGCATTATTACCGATTCTTTATCTTCAAAATCTTAGTACAATATTTTATATTTATGCTAGCAGCATAGAGTAATACGACAAAAACATTCTAATTGCATCTGAATTACTATAAATGGGAAATGCTTACAAGAATATGATTGAAGACGATAAAATTAACCACGATTAAATTAAATTAATTTCGATAAAAACAATCGTTCATCCGACTACGATTGCGAACAAAAATTTCCATAAATATTAGAGAGATTATTATTAGTGGCAAACAGCGTTATTGGCTAACTCGGGCTTCATTATTAATGTGGACTACGTTTAATTTCGTAATTCAGAAAGTCCAAATGTGCATAATGGACGCCGCGCTGACTAGCGATAATTGGTTGACGCTTTATCTCGATCAAACATGGTCGCTGGGGCTAAAGTAAGACGACATTCGCACCGTATGCTCGGTCTGGTATGAAATCTGCCACGTGTTGATGTAAAACAGTGCACAAGTTGCCATTCCTCAAGTATTATTTACTCCCACCTGTCCGTTATGACATTTGCTCGAAATAATCCGAAATGTTTTATCCGCTTGTATCGCGCTAACAAAATTAAAAGTAAATACTACTTTTTTTGGTAACAGCTGAAAAAAGACGTGTATGTACTATTACATTATGTCCCCTGATTTCGTTTACCGCCACTCGAGTGGAAGCCTGACAAACGCAAACAAAATAAAAATATATTTTAGGATGAGATACATGATTGTAAATTAACATTGCCGGCCGATGAACTCATTCAGCAATAGTTCTCTTCAAATGTACGCGAAATATTGCTCTCAGAACAAAGTTTAAATTAAATTTCAATCAAAATTAAACATTATCTAGACGTCGGTAGCCGATTCTTTATCCAAACATGCCAGGGCGTACAATAGTGCTTAGTGGCAGCGCAGGTGTGCTGTTGAAAATTTTCATCGAAATTGTCACGAATTTTCAGGTATACGATCCATTTGAATTCGCGCATAATGGAAACTTCGGCTATTTAGTGGAAAACTGAACTCGCAGTTTGCTGGTAATTACGCCACACATCATCTCGAGTGATGCGTAAAAGAGTGTGTTGTGTCGAACTTGAAACAAATGACGGCAGACAAGTAAAAAAGTCAATCACGAAAAATTCATTTTCATTTATTTACGTCCCGTAATTTGTTGCTATTTGGAGTGCCGCATAAACGCATTCGGCAGTTTAAACGCCACCGAAAACAACGATTAACAAATATTCAATGTTTTTCTTTCGGTCCCGTAATTTGGTGTTATTTGGAGTGCTGCATAAACGCATTCGGTAGTTTTAACACCGCCGAAAACAACGATTAACACACGTTCAATGTTTTTTTTTCGGTCCCGTAATTTGGCGTTATTTGGAGTGCCGCATAAACACACTCTGGCAGATTTAAAGCCGCCGAAAACGACGATTTAACAAACGTTCAATGTTTTTTTTTCGCTAAATCGCTCTCTTTTTCCGAATCGCGTAAATCTGATTCGAATCGATTCGGAAAAGATGCGATTCGAATCGATCCGATTCGTGAATCCGAAAGTGGCATCCCTAATTGTGGTAACAAATTAGTATTCTTACTTAGAAAATAACACAGTTGGCTTTTTTTTATTCGTAATGAAGTTTTTGATATTAGAAGTTTGTTGTTGCTATTGTAATTCGTGTTCTGGACTTACATGATAGAAAGCATTGATTTGCCATACAATAGCCAACTTTTCTCTTCCCCCATGCCCAAGCTAAATATAAAATATTCTTCCCATATCTCCAGTTTCTACTCGAATTCAGTAACAATTTTTTTTTCTATATTTCAGCCTTAGAACATGTCCCGAATTCAGTTCGATTATGGAAAGCATCAGTGGAATTGGAAGATCCAGATGATGCAAGAATCATGCTCTCTCGATCTGTTGAATGTTGTCCACTGAGTACTGAACTCTGGCTTGCTCTTGCGAAATTAGAGTCCTACACAAATGCCAGAAAGGTACAAAAATGTTTTCAACAATAAGCTTTTTTAAGTTATTTTAATTTGTTTCATTGTTTTCCACTAAGTTAAGTCATATGGTAGCAGAGAGATATAAAATATTTTAAACGAAGAGTGTTTGATTTTGTTTTTGACTGTTTTGTTCATCTGGTCTGACAAGGTTCTGTACTAGCCATCGTCAAGAATTAGTGAGTTTCTCAAATATTCCAGCTTATAGGCTGAGTGAGTGAGTAGTTCAACTCTAGTAAACAAACGTCGGTTGGTCAAATATCAAATCTGAAGTCTCTGGCATACAATGGCTGCAATATTGGGCATTGTTCATTTGTTGGGAATATATTATATTCCGCTAATATAATTGAATCATTATTATTATGTGACACATATTGTATTTGGAAAGAACATCTAATGCAGTGGTTCTTAAACTTTTTAAGTTGTTTCCCCTTTTTAAAATTTGTCATGTCTCATGCCCCATCTCAAAAATAACTAGCTAAAAATAAGCTACAAATAACAGATAGGAAGGCGAAAGTATGTTTTATACAGAAAACACGTTAAAAATTGGTGGATGTAACATAAATATCCAAAATAAAGAAAGTTGAAGAAATACTTCGAAATTATTGTTGTGACCACTCTTATCTTCTTTTATAGGTTTTAAACAAAGCTAGAGAACATATTCCCACAGATAGACAGATATGGATTACGGCTGCTAAATTAGAGGAAGCAAATAATAATTTGAAAATGGTCGATAAGATCATTGAACGTTCAATCACTTCACTAAAAGCCAACATGGTGGACGTTAACAAGTAAGTGTTAAATGTCTTTCCCTCTGAACGGTGCACTGTATAAGCAATTGCTGATATATAAGAATTAATGGCCCATCGGTGTGGAACAGGAATACGCTTGCCACCGCACCTCTGATTACTCTGCGTGGTTCAGGTTTGAATCCAATACGCGGTAGATTATGTGAGACAGGATAGCTGTACTTCTTGCTAGGGATGGGCAATATAGAATACCGAATCCGGAGGATTCGAATCCCGAAGTATTCGAATCCAACAGGATGCGATAACAGGATTCGGTATCCGCCGAGCGTTTTTCTCGTGTGGAAATCTCTCTCGTTTAAATAGACGTGCGTCTGCTCGGAAAGAACCCGTAGAATCGGTAAACTTCAAACACTGTAATCTCAATCGGCGTATTCTGGACAGGAAGTCGGCGAAGTACATCGCATGGCGAAGACTCGTCATTGCACCATTTTTTGCAACGATTGCAACAATCTTCAATTGTTTACAGGCGTGCCTTGCTTCATTTTACATTATTGTAAATGATTTTCTGCGACCGGCGAATTTTCCCCAGAAAATGAGGCATATAAACCAAAAGCCAGGCGTGAAATGTTATGACATTACTTGCGATTAATTTAAATCAAATATTATTTAGAAATAATTTTATTACTTTTATTACACCAGTTTCCGAAATACAAAGTTATATCGCAAAACACGACGATCTGTCGCATTTAAAATTCACTCTCAAAAGATTACATATCTTTCGGTCCGTTTCTATCGTTCGTTTAAGATAGACGCACGTTTGATCGAATGTCTGTAGTAATTTTATTTGCCGATAAATTTAAAAAAATGATGCCACATCTGGCGAAAATAGATACGTATTGAGTTTGAGTAGGGCCAAGTCTGGGTAGATAATGATATGTAACGATAATAATAGAAAATTCGTCATTAGATGATATTAACTAATAACTAACTACGAAATCGCGTTTACGGGAACCTTGTTTTGCATGTCTTGATCGCACAGAATAAAAAGTTGATTTTAATTGATAGTGGTCAAATTTAATATTTTACAACGGTCGCATAGGTTGCAGTTGCCACACGCTGGTCCTGCATCTAATTAATTTTCAGCGGGTGTGTTTTAGTACACTCGGCCTTCTAACATTAATACTGATTTAATGCCGTTTCTATCTATTTTTGTATTTAACCAATTACTATTAAAGTGTTTGAAGCGTGTCTTAATTTAGCATATCAGTATTTAGAGATTACATACATTTGGGACAATTGAAAGCAAAAATATTGTAATATTCTTAGATTTCATTGTCCTGGGAAGTGCCTGTTTAGTATCAAATCCAATCCAATGTTAAGGACATTTCCAAATAAATAATACATTTATAGTAATACATTTATAATTTTTTGACATCTAAATCCTGCAATCAGGAAAATTCCCACTATTAGAATAAGTATGAAAATAGAATAGGATTCGGTATTCTGGATTCGATTTAACTATTCTAGAATATTCTAGAATAGTAAATTATTCAACATTGCCCATCCCTACTTCTTGCTGCCGAAGGATGGTGTCTAAACACCAGGCCTACCTCGCAATCACCTGAACTTGTTTTGGCTGATTTATTGCATACATTGCCTAGAATCCATTTGTGTAAACGCAGGGCTGTGAGTGAAGGTGCTGAGCACACTAGCGTGATTGAGTTTGTTGAGTTTTATAACCTTGTTTCTTGTACAGAGAACAATGGATGAAAGATGCAGAAGAAGCGGAAAAAGCTGGAAGTATCCACACTTGTCAGAGTATTGTTAAACATGTCATAGGTAGGATTGCACAAGTAACCTCAATAGTGTAGCAGACTCTATTATTACCTTAATCTGAATAGACTAAACTTAAAAAAATGACAAAAATGTATATTTTCGATTTTTAAACTTCTTATTGAAAAATTTGTTAAATATTGCTTCAAAGTGTGATTAGATAGAGATACCTGCTTGAAGTATCCTTTTTCTGAAATTTTATCATTTTGTCTTAAATCCTTAAATTTTCATGTAAATATAGTATCAGCTGATTTTAGTTGTTTTTTGTATTCCTAGGACTATGATGACTATATTTTTGCTTATTTTCTAATTTTCTAGCATTTGCTTCTAATGACATTGACAGGATATTCTTTATTGAGGATTTCTAGATTTCTTTCCGTTGCTTTTTTGACTGGCATTTGTCAGTTGTTAGAATCACCCTGCATTGCTGTTAATTAAAGTTACTTGTTCTTCATCATGATTGTCATAACTATAGATACTCTTGAACACTCACAAACTCACTCATTCACTAAATGCACTTTCTTTAGATTTAAAGTTTATTCTTGATAGACAAATCCACGGATACACATTTGAAAATTTGTCTATATGGTATTTACTATATGCAATTTTCTCCTTACTTTAGATATGTTTTATTATGTCATTACCAGTGAAATACTACGTTTATTTTCAGGAATTGGTGTTGAAGATGAAGACAGAAAACATACCTGGATGGATGATGCAGAAGGTTGTATTTCTCACGGTGCTTATGAATGTGCAAGAGCTATCTATGCCCATGCTCTCAATACTTTACCAGGGTGAGTTTGTGTCACATTGTCTGTATTTCCTTCTGTAATTGGGAATGTGTTATTTTGTTAAACTGTTTTCCACTATCTTGTCTACAGTATATCCTAGGATTTTCATGCTTGCATCAGACCAGAATGCAAATATGTTTGTTACTTGTTAGCAAATTTATTTTTGCAGCTTTTAGTTTTAAATTTGTTCGAATTTTTTGAGAAACATTGGTCTCCAAAATTCCTAATTCATAGAGTTGAGCTTTACTTGAATTTTCTTATTAAATATTTATTATCATTTGTGTTTTCATAGTATACAGAACATGAGACTTATATAAGTTGCATGTGATAGGTCAGATTTAAGTTGCGAGCCATAGTTTGGTCTGGTGATGAGCCATTTGTGGTGATATTTACATGAAATTATATCTGGCTGGTTTACAGTAATCTAATATTGTTCTAAAATCACTGATATTTTTGTTTTTCATTCTTAGTAAGAAAAGTATCTGGCTTCGTGCAGCTTACTTGGAAAAAAACCATGGAACAAGAGAAACATTGGAAAGTCTATTACAGCGTGCTGTAGCTCATTGCCCGAAAGCTGAAGTTCTTTGGTTGATGGGAGCAAAATCAAAATGGATGGCGGGAGATGTTTCTGCTGCAAGGTAGTAGTATATTAGTTTATGAAATTGTTGATGTCACAAGATTCCAGGTCAAAAAAAAATACTTTGCACATATCATTAGATAACAGTGACAGCTTGAAAAATTGTTCTTTTCAGCATTTAGTATTTGATGCTCAAGATAAAATAAATTTAAATGAATACATCTTGTCAGTCGGCATACCTTTGTGACCGTTAATGACAAAAGTTGTTTATCCAATATGAGGTGTCCACAAAGTCTCAAAATATTTCAAATTGCAATGGGAATTTATCGATACTGTACATTATTTTGGCCCCCACAGATGTATTCAATGAAGTAAAAATACTTGAACAATTACTGATTAAAAAATTATTATATTAATAAGTTACAAAATATATTTTACTGTTGAATTGTGGCACTGTTGTTTGAGACTTCTGAAATTCATCAAAAGTTGAACAAACCAAATTCGAATTCTTTATTGAAATTTTATTTAATATTTCAGATCGATTCTTGCTTTGGCTTTTCAAGCAAATCCTAACTCCGAGGACATCTGGTTGGCTGCAGTCAAGTTAGAATCGGAGAATAATGAACACGACAGAGCGAGGAAACTGTTGGCAAAAGCGAGAACTAATGCTTGTACTGCAAGAGTCATGATGAAGGTATATTTCAACTGATATTTTGCTATTCGACTTCATTAGAATATAATAACAGGAAGACACCTCGATACTGGATGTTAATATCTTAATACTAGTCAATATTTCTTTATGTTACATATTTTAGTAGTAGGTTTTGGTTTTTCTTTACATACCTTTATTTCCAACATAGGAACTTTCTATCTAGATTTATTAGAACATAATTATTTTTCATTGGACTTCATATTTGGGGTTTATTTTTGTTTCTATAAAATTCCTATCTTGCTAGTATTATGGATGGATCCACACTTTCAATAATTAAAGTTTGACAATACTTTCCGTTAACATTCTGACGTGACTTCACAAACTAATGCTTACTCTGCTCATTCAATTTGCTGTGTTGTCTTGTGCTTACTTTTGGGCGCTTCAGAAGTGTGTACCAATATGGAGGTAACTAATTTTGTTCGCCTACTTTACATCAAGTTGTGTAAAGGGAATGAAACCCATGGGCAGGGGGTATATTCACTTGGCTAACACAGACAGTCCCCGAACTCGTAATAGAACTAAAATGAGGAAAATTGGAATAAAAGTATGGCCTGACCCTAACCTGGTACGTATACAACGGGAATACCTAATTTTGTGCCAGCCTTCTACGAAAAGGTGATAATTTATCATTTATAATATCATTAAAGATATTGTTTCTTGTGACAGTCTGTAAAACTGGAATGGTGTCTCAATCGAATGAATGAAGCAAGAGATCTTCTTGGTGAAGCTACGAAAAAATATCCTGACTTTGCTAAACTAGCAATGATGAGAGGACAGATTGAGGAACAAATTGGAAATATTCAGGCAGCCAGGGAGGCTTATAATGAGGTGAAATTTCAGTAGTCATTCAGTAATACATTGGAAATCTTATCTGTGTAAAATTACTTGGAAAATGTGCTTCAGACTGTAGTTCTGGTTAACTGCATGGAAGAGTAAAATAGTTGTTTCAGAATGTTATAAAAACTATTCGCTGTTCACAATCAGTTTGGTGGTGTGGTGCGTCGTTTTAGGCGTTAGGAATATGCTCGCCATTGCACCTAGGATTACCCTCTGATCCCATGCGAGGATAGTTATGTTCTATAATATGTATAAATATTTTTATATTTAACTTTCTATTCATTTATTGATATAGTTTTTTGTGGATTACGGAATTGGCCTTGACGTATTTATTGTTTTTTTCAAAATAACATATATGTTACTGTATATATATAGTTCAACTTTTTGGTATTATTTTCTTGTTAGACTTGCTTATGGGGGCCTCTGCTCGATAACCAAATTTGGTTTCTTGCGGCTTCCCTCACCCTGAAATGCTTTTTAATTATTTATTGCAATTTGTATATCAAGTGTGCTTTTAGTATGGTAAGAAAATTAACTACTGATTACTGGTTTGGTAAAGGATATCTACTTCCTAAAAAGAATGTAATTTCATTTGTTCTATATTCAGGGTCTTATAAAATGTCCTCAAGCAATTCCATTATGGCGACTTCTCAGCACATTAGAACAAAATCACGGAACAATAACAAAAGCAAGAGCTGTTCTTGAAAAATCAAGATTGAAGAATCCAAAATGTCCTGAACTATGGTAAATATTTGTTAGGCGACTTTTTCACATACTTTTCACTGTGAACAGGCTTTGTGTGAGCAGTCAATGATATGTGAAGTGCTATTATCATATGTGGGAAGGCCAGAAATCCTTTCTGTTCTGTTGCCTACTCACCCATATATCGAAATTAATGTCTCAAAATAGTCTTTGAAGAATTCAAAATGGGCCAGAGAGGCCAAGAACTATCATTTCACTACATATCATTCGATCGGAGGTTGGTGATTAGGTAATAATTATTTGTGAGATTATTGTGGTGATCTGTGCAAGATCGGTGTCATAAGGTGGTCCTCATAATTCCTGGTTGATTAGGGTTTCCTCCACCGTCAATCAAGTCCATGCATCTGAAACAAATAGCTGTTCAACAATTCTCATACATGACACGGACATGCAATCTTTCTGCTGTCCCAGAATAAATATGAAAATCCCTTCTTATTCTATCCATCAAAGTCTATGTCTTACTACACTATCTAACATCATGTTAATTGATACTGTTTATATTTAGGTTAGCTTCAATAAGACTGGAATGGAAAGCCAATATCAAGAATATCGCTGGTAATTTAATGGCTCGGGCACTGCAGGAATGTCCGACGTCAGGTTTATTATGGGCAGAAGCAATATTCATGGAGGCAAGACCACAAAGAAAAACGAAATCAGTCGATGCATTGAAGAAATGTGAACATGATCCTCATGTTTTACTGGCTGTGGCGAGGTAAATAAATTTATCTGTTTTTTTAAACAAATTGAGGATCACAGTGAAGTGTGAAGTAGGAGCTGCTTATTCACATATTAGAATCGTTAGTGAAAGCCTTTTTTCACTTGAAATTCAAATTATTGTATTACTTAATTACTCATTATTTGTATGTAAACGAATTTTTCATGCTATAACTCCGAACAAAGCTCTGGACAAGGTCTACTAAAATTTCGAATAAATGTGATATTTCGAACCCAAGTACAGGCTTTGGTATGTAGATAGCTTTTCTGGCTATCTGGCACTGTGTGTGATACAAACTATTTAATTTGTTGTTCCTGTTAATTTGTTGTAAGTATTTTAAACAACCTATTTTATTGTTCTTTCCTTACACATGGTCTATTTTCCCTTGGTTTAATATTGAATGGCATTATGCAGGTAGGTAGCACAAAATATGCATAGCAATGAGAGTTTGCACATACTGAAACGAAACTTCTTTTCTTTGATTCCAGGTTATTTTGGAGCGAAAGAAAATTGTCTAAGTCCAGGGAATGGTTTCTACGTACTGTTAAAATTGATCCTGATTACGGAGACGCTTGGGCTTTCTTTTATAGATTTGAACTCAATCATGGAACACAGGTATGTATAGACGTTTTTATTGCCTTGTTTGTAGTTCAGTCTTCTTTTCCCCTAAGTATAGTGTTAGAAATGGTCTTACTCATGTGGTTTGCGTCAATGAATATGAACAGTTTGGAAAAATTTATTTAAAATTCCAATAGTATCAGTACGTTCATTCAATTGAGAATAATTCTGTGATAGGCGAGATTTAGTTCACCTCACTCCTGACGCTTTTGGTCAAAATTATTAATTTTTCTCTTTTGACTGGGTGTTACCTTGCATTTTACTTCACAGGACCAACAGGAAGAAGTCATGAAACGATGTATAAATGCTGAACCAAGACACGGCGAATTATGGCAGAATGTTTCAAAAGACATTGTTAACTGGAAACTTAAAACCAAAGAACTCTTACCTCTTATCAGTTCTAAAGTTTCAATCGCGTTTTGATTCAAAGTTCAACGTTGTCTATGTAGACAAATTTTCTAATGTTTGAAAAAAGCTGCGAAATGAAAACCCTGTTGACTTTCTCGCCTCTGCGTAATCTTTGATATAAAAATGATTACACCTGAAAAGAGATCGCTGCAACCAATTTATGAGACTGTCTCTGCATGGATATACTCTCTGTGTTCATTTTGATATCATTGCTATGACATTGGGAAATTGTAGAGTCTTATATTATTGGACTAAAAAAACTGTTCAAAAAACCAGAACCTGCCGTTTCCTATAATTTTGTGCTATGTTTGACTTGTAACATTGTTTTTGGTCTTATATATGTGATGACACTCTTTTGGTAGTAAAATAAACTTTACTTGCGAATGTCATATGTAATACACTTTTACCTGCCAGCAACATTGCACATGGTGGCTCGGCCTATCTTCTTGGACAGGGTGTGACAGGATTTTTTTGTTCATTTATTCTTGAGAAGACGAAACGTGTAATATTCTGGACAACAGTTATTTTACCCAATTACCTGTTCAAGTATTTAATGGGTAGTCTGACGCTAACTCTTCACAGAATTTTCCCTGGTTGCTGCCTAGCACAACGTGATACCATTTTTCTACTACCCTGAAATCTATGTTGCCAATTCTGATATAAAGCATTTGACAACGAGAACTCTTTTTGGCTTCAGCTTATGCTTCCAATTTGACCAACTGTATAATAAAATTCCTTGGGTATGCACTTCATGTTTTTGTAAGAATTCTGAAATTTTGTAAACTTTTTCCTCATACGAACAAGACATCCGATACAAATGCCCTACCAATAAAGAATTGTTCAGTCACACTTTTATCAATATATCATATATTGCTATGTGGCAAGTTGGCACAAATGTGAAATAATAAAATAGTGCAAGTTCTAAAATTAAAATAGTTCTAAATGGAAATTTCGAAAAAATAAGCTTGACAACAGCATTTGTGCAGGACTAACTATGTCGATGTGCCTTCTATATGGTAACTTTTGCTGCACATGCATGCTCAAAGAATGACATCTTTGTAAAACAACAAAAATAAAAACTGAATGAAGGTTCGAACAAACTGAGTGGGACTTAATCCTGAAAATCGATGTTTTTTTTTTTCAAAGATAAAGGATACAAAACCTTAGAGTCTGAGCTGGAGTCTTACAGAGTTGAAATATCAGACTTTCATGCATATTTCCAGTCCCACAGCCCTATTTCATGATGCAAGAAACTGGGCAGTGACATTGTGATTCTAGTTTCGTTGCGCATGCAACTTCTGACACAACAGACCGACTTGAATTGGGCTCATGTTCTGCATATGAACATCTTAATTCAAGCATAGGAATATTATCAGTAGTGGAATTCAGGATGTTTGTGCAAACCCATTCTCGGTATGTCGCGATAATCAATTTGTTTTAGACAACCATAGCTGATGGCTAGAGTTATATTTTGCGTTTTGGAAGTCATGTTTTAGATTTATGTTAACCCTTATCGAGTGGTGGGCACGTATACGTACCCACGACAAAAGTCGCTAGATTGCGGCGGGTACGTTGATGTACTCCACTGTTTTATTTAGCAATCGGTCGCAAACTGTTGGTCTAGTTTTTCCGGGTTCTAGTTTATTGATAAGAAGTCTTCTTCGAGATTAACATAAGCGAACCGCTTTCGTTTACGACAGGAATTTTATTTGCGGCGGAACGAGGGAGTGTTTTTGAAACTTATGCAAATTTCGGTGTTTTTTGGGTGGTGATAGAAGACATATTATCCCTTCCATCTACCAAAGTATTTTGAGTTGGATCACGAAATTGCTACAGCAATATTATGCTATTGTTTGCCAACCACGAAGCGGTAACAGTAAAGGATTTAGCAAATATTTCTATTTTTTATCACGGTTTGAAGTTTCAACTCCCAAGAAAAAAAAATGCCTTTTTTCTATCCGGTTTGTGACTCAGACCACCACTTTTAAAAAAACTTTTTTTTTTAATCGCCAATTGCAAGCTCTTTAAATAAGTTTTCCAACGAGTCGTCAGTAGGCAGCAGAGGATCATTAGTTTTTCGTTAGTCGATCGATTAGTTGTGGGGGTACAAATGCATAAAATCGGCGTAGCAAATTTGATTATTTAATAAAAAATAAAAATCGCATGGAAAGGGTTAAGCATGGTATTGTGGCTTAGGTCGATACGTAAATACGTTTTCCGAAATCAGCGAAGTGATTGTGAATTCGATACAAAAGGAAACCTGTTCTTGCGGTTTAAAATCTCATCACTGCTTATAATCTAATCTGTAAATCAGTTTGTACTGTTTTGGTTCCTTGATCGAGAGAGATCAATCTGGTTTGTACATTCTGATCACGGTTGCTGTCTCCTTTACCATGCTGCCTTTTCTTTGGTGCAATCAGAAATCCGGATGGACACTCGTCAACTTTTGATGTATAGTCGAGGAAATTACAATACTCGTTTTCCATTTCCCAGTAATCTCTCTGTGCTCTTCGCATCTTGTCCATTTGTACCTCAAGTTGCCTTTCAACTGCTGCAATTCTGTAAAGATCGGTTATTATTATTGCCACTTCCAGATTGTTGACAATGAATAAGGTAGCAATACAGGGCAGTTTAGTATTTTTGAATGTCAAAAAAATTCAATCTTCCTGTGGGGATGGCTGGGCGTAGTTACATCATCAGACTCTATTTATCTGCTAGAAATTTCTGTGAGATTGGATTAAAAATGAATCTTACCTTTCTCGCAGTTTTATAACTTCAACTTGATGTAGATCCTGTATCTTCCTGATTTCATCTTGCATTATTTTTTCACAAAATCGTTTTGTTTTCTCAACTTCATCATTCAATTTATTCTTGAACTTTTCTCTAGCTATACGGAGAGCATCTGCAATGGCTTTCTCCCTGTTAAGTTAGTATTGAACATATTGAAGGATGGTTTAAGCATAAAGATCTAAATTATAAATCACTTTTCAATTAGCACAATAGATTAAGAATGAACCAACATTTAAGATACAAAAAATGATAGAAAATGATTCCAGTTTGCTCGAAAATATTTTATTTTACATTGACTTAGTTTAAAATGATGGTGTGAAAGTATTTAATAGTAAATAAATAGTCCAGTAGAACCACATAAAAATTCGATGTAATAATAGCCTTTGACAAAGATTTAAATCTTTCAGATTTGGCGAGGTAACAGAAAAAAACAGAAAAATTTCGCCTTTTATCAGAAATAACATTAAGATAAAACCTCTGTGGCACGGATATGTCTTATAATGTTATCAACTTTAAATTGAGCATGAAAATCGTACCTTTGCAATGCTGCCTCTGCTCGAAGACTCCTCCTTTGCTCGGTCAGAACTCTTTCAATTGCCTCTGCCTTCAATCTGCAATGAAAAATATAACTGTTCCTGTCTACACCCATAATGTTTTTAGATTACTGAAGGAATGAGCTGCATTTTATTTAATAATTGATGGCAAGTAAGTAATATTCGATACTTATTGAATGTCTCGTTTATGAATAATGGCAAATTTTCAAAATGCTCTTAACTTCTCTAATATTTGACAAAATTTGTTCAAATTTTTTTTTATTTTGCTTGTAGGAAGTTATTCTGGATATATGCAAAGCATAAATAAAATCTGTGATAATGGGTGGACTTTTTATTTTTGTCTTGTCTGACATTGGCCTGACATGAATCATGATTGTACTCGAATGGCTTTCACTGGCGTTACTTTCTCATGATGTAGCGAATCAGCAGATGATGCTGATAGACACAATTGTTAAATGGGGAAATCTTTCATATTTTTATAGCTGCATGTGAACATCTACAGCAAATTAAGAAATAGCCAAAATTGAATAATTCAGAATCCCAAATACATTTTAAAATGATATTTTCGAGTATGAATTTTAAATTGTTCAACAAATAACATGTAAAGGTAATGCCTGTGCAATCAGTTTGTGTTTGATATTGTAGGAGAGTTAGATAATTCATGATTTGATTGGTTTTCTATTTATTACAGTTTTCAGATAAGTTGTTTGGTTTTACAGTGAGGCTTCAAATGCTCAAAATAACAATTTAAAAATAAATTTTGTACATAGTTGTGAAATCAAGATGTTATAACATCGGACATGCCTAATAATAAACCCGATTGAATATACAATGCATGTTAGGATATGTCTAACAGCAGTTGATGATATACATGTGACTGTCAAATGTGATTTTTAAAAAAAACTGATTATTACTTTTCAGCGAGTTTCCATTGCTCAGCAAGTGCTTTCTTTTTCTCTTCGTTCAATCTCAAGATGAGTTTTTCTTCTCTTTCCTGTTCGATTTTCCCTCGGTTTCTGTCTGTTCTTGCAGCCACTCTTTCATTGTAATGCTTCAAAGCTTCAACTGCATCCTCTTTCTCGATTTCTGCTTTCTCTGAAGCTAAAGCAAGTTCCTGAAAATGAGAAGATTGTTGACCACAATAAAAAGTAAGAAAAGAGAGTTTATTCCATTCGTCAACACACAAAATATGCAAACATGACCTTTTGGGGTCATCAGAAAAGATTCTGAGCAATAATTTTGTTCCCAATTCAAGCAAAGCACTCTTTGTAAAATTGACTCTTGCCGAATATAATGAAAATTGTGAATATGCTTCGCATACTATATCAAACACCATAGACTCCAGTTATCCCTATTTTTAAAATCAACTGAAGGGATCTGAGAAACTACCAGGGGACATGAATCAGGCTGCTGAATTTGTGGAAAACAGAAATCTCCCAAATTCAGTCAAACTGTTTTAAACATTTTTTGATACTCCTGAAGTATGCGCACCAAGATGTCGCACAACCTGAAGTTCAGGTTGTGCGCCATCTTGGTGCGCATACTTCAGAAGTATTAAAAAATGTTTAAAGCAATTTGACTGAATCTGGGAGATTTCTGAAATTATTCGGCATGTGGGTAGTTGTGTAAATTTGACAGCTTGGCCAGTTTAATTATAATAATATTTCAGTACAAATATACTGATTCGCATAAGCAGAGTTGTGTGCCAGAAAGCTACAACGTACTATTTTGTGTTGCGCATTGTGTATACCAGAAACTTGCCTTTTTCAAGTTTTCATCAGCAAGTCTCTGTGTTTCATGAACGGCTTCCAAAACTGCTTGTTTCTTCTCTTGGTCAAATTTATCAATCTTTTTTTGATACAGTTTTTCCCCGGCATCTGCATAAATAAAAATTGATCACCTTTGTCTACTTCAGGATATCAGTAATTAGCCAGTTATGATAAATAAACAGTCATATTAAAAAAATCATAAATTTGGTTCTAACACAAATAATTCTAACAAAAAATAAGTAACTAAAACGTTATCGAGGATACTGGAACAGTCACGTTTAGAATAGGAAAATGAAGGCACGTCACCAGGTTATAGCATTATTTATTTAAACTCACACTAAACGCTGAACCTTTTCCTTAGTTTAAAAAAGGTGCATTCATTCACATTCAAGAATTAATAACTTAATACTGTAATAGAAGCGTAAATTGTATGGAAATATACAGTAACCCAGCAACTCGCGAAAAACATTCCAATATGACTGTAACTATCCACCCAAGCATTTCTGACTCCTATGATTATAATTTACCTAAAAAACTTTTAAATAGACAATGTGATTGAGTAGTACATGTACAAACCTTGAATCTGTGAATGAGTTATTTTTTGAGTCTCCAATGAGGTTTTTGACAGCATGTAAGACAAGAAATCGACAGCATGGGTCTTTGGTCGTTCAAGAAGGCCATGTTCTGTAAATATTTTCAAGGTATCTGGTGACCCAGGGTAAGTATATGGTCGCGAACAAGACGAAGAAACACTTCTGGAAGAGGCCATGGTCAACTAAAAGCGTAACATGTTGCTATAGAGATACTAAAGCTAGGGCGGAATGTCACACGCGGTCAAGCGTGATGAAATCAAAATCTTCAGAATGGCTCTAGGAATGGGTTGACATTTCAATTTTTTTTTCTTAAAAATTGTGGAGAAAATTATAAATGTATTTTTGAAAGCGAGTAATGCCTCAATTAAACTTAAATTAAAATGAAAATGCATGAGCCGTTATTCCGTCGACGTCGGTATGTTAGTCGTTGGTCGACGTTGTGAAATTGTCTATAGCTATACAATATATTTTTTGAAAAATAACTATAAACTATTCTAACAAGGCTAAATCGAGCTATGGATGTTTCCGTGATCCTTACCCCAGAAAAATTCTTTCTTGTGTGCTTATTTTACGATTGCAATCTAAGGAGTTGACGCAAATGAAAACTGACAAATAACACGCAAAACCGCAAAAGTGGGGCAATGTTTACAACCATTATTGAATATCTGTCTGGGCGAACGAAGTGTCTGAGCGGCTTGAAAAATTACGATTATTAGGTCAGCGCTGACTTTCTGTTGATTTGTCATTGTTACCGAAATAATCAAAGAATTGTTTCTTGAATCTGTTTTTCAATGCAAATGCTCCATAAATCAAAGACGAAATTAAACATTTATAGGTTTATTATTTTCATTTACAGCACCAAATGCAAACAACTACGGTGCGTTTTATTTTACAAGATTTCTAAAATTGGTGATCGTACATTTAAACTCATGTGTATATCCGCGGGTTCAATCTATATGTGGGTGCTAAAACCCATGGGTTAGAGTTAGTATGGGTTCAAATATCCGCATAACAAAAAAAGTTCTATAGGTGCAATAGTATGCAGGTGCAATTGTCGTGGGTTCAAATGTACTTGGGTTCAAATGTACAGGAACCCTAAAAGTTGACATTTATTATCAATTAATTCGTAATAATTATTTAATTCGATAACTGTTAAGCAAATTTTAGGCTACCATATATTTATAACAATCTCGCTCACAGCTCGGCTCTTTGCCAATCAACGAGTGTTTCCAGACGGAAAAATTTATTTGTGTTGTTCGAAAGACTTAATTTGGCCGTTAGTCGTCGATTTGGCCATAAATTTTTGGACTCGGTACGGATTTTGACCACAAACAATGGTTATTGCCATGTTTCGTTACATCTGGGAGTGTCCGATGAAGTCTTGTCGGGGTTAAAAATAATTATTAGTAAAATTGAAATTGACCGAATTTCTATTATATGAATTTTCGGGGATTCATGCTCTAGATATGAACAATGAATGACATGATATAACCGTAAATATATACTACTACGATACAACAAATGTTTAAAACGCTTGTTACAGCGTTTGCTATAAACCTTTTTCTAGTTTTTGCCCTTTTCCGGATCTCTCTGTCGTCATTGTCTGTGTTTTTTTTATTATTATTCGTTTATGTGTTGTGGACGTAAGATCGAAATAAAATTGTGTTGTGTGATGTGAAATAGAGCAGTGGTTCCAAACCGCCGGTCCGCGAAGCTGTTTTGTCGGTCCGCGAGAAATTTCGTTTTTTTATGCCGTCTCAATCTCTTTACTGAAGACGAGGTTGCGTTACTTTATTACGCAATTTCTCTTCCGCCGTCATATTGCGACATCTTGGCGCTGACTAATCACTCTTTTCGCTTTTTCGACTCCGATTAATCGCGAATACGCTCCTTCGAATCTCGCAAGATTCACAAACCTAATAATCGACAAGCGTGCTTTTTTCTGTTCTGCGTGCTTTTCCTGATTGACATGTCCATACATATAAAACGTTATGCAGATTTCTTTGTTTAAACCAGAAAACAGTCAAGAACAGTATAATATTCCAGTGAGATTTGAACTTGTTGCAACCCTGCAGTTTGTCAAGAGTCGCGCAAAAAAGCATAGTCCGCATAGATCTTTTCCAGTATTTTGAGCACGAAAGATTTTAAGCCTGGTGCCAAGTTACCGACGACTTCGTCATTGTAACGGATAGGATAGGATATATTTTATCCTGGGGTAGAAGAAATCCGATAAGACGGCTTAATCATATGGCGAACCACGGCCTCTCGTCCGGTTACCAGTCCAGGTCGGGCATGGGATTAGTTAGCCAGTTCTTTGTTTTCGGAAGCAGGGTCTTGATGGTGAAGGTAGCCGTACGCGGCCAGCGGTTACATGAACTACCCTACAGCGTCGAGGTGTCGAGCAATCCTCTCGCACATAACTATCACCGGATGGGATTCGAACCTGCCAAAATGCGAGGGGTAATTCATTTCGTTTGAAGCGTCGATCAACTGCAGAATGATTAATATGATGAACCCGATGAAAAAGAAAAAGCTTGAATAAAATTGTGATCTGTTGTCCGTGTTTTCAAACCAGTTACTGCGTTATGCAAAAAAAAAAAAAAAAATCGGTTGCATGCCGCTGCAAAGCTACCTGTTTTAGAAACTTGTTTGGGGCCTCGCTTGCAATCCTATATTGAAAAAAAAAAAAGCAGCAAAATTCTCACTGGAGTTAATGAGGAATGTAAATGTACCGGTAAATGTTTTTTATGTGAGATATTTTATGAGCGCCTTTCATACGCATACTGGGTGCCCAACACTGCATTTCATTGCGCAAATATATGGTATCATTTTATGTTTCACCCATTTCAATTTTTTACCGGCACATTATTTGATAGTTTCTCTTCGTGTTTTTTTTGGGATGTTGAGTGCTCGACATTGCATTGAATTATGCAAATATATGTTATTCTTTCAGGTTCCGGTCATTTCAATTTTTTGCCGGTCCGCGAATACATTTAATTTAATTTTACCGGTCAACCGGTATGGACCTTTCCCCGACCTTTGACACCCGAAAAATTCTTCCCATACTTTACCATTGCAAAATTTTCGGGGCTATTTTAAGAGTGCTTTTGCGAGTTGGCGCCTGTAAATTGGGGTATGTGTCTCAAACCATCATTATGATTCATCGCATACAACAATCTGTTTTTTAAAAGAACCGGTAAAGAATTTCAGGCTAGTCTATCACATCTATTTCTACACTAACTTTTATTACTGCAATTAAATTTAAACTTCTAGGAAGACAGAGTGATCATTGAATTATCTGATTTATATTTGAGTTTCCGAAACACAACTGAAAACTAACGAATAAAGTTCAAAAACGCGAAAACGAGGTAATGTTTACATCCACGCTTGAAAATCTGTCTGAGTGAGAAAAGTGTCTGAGCGGATGCGAAAAGGGGGCATTGTTACGTCACTTTTTGCATCTTGCTGATTGGCCAATGTCACGAAGTAAACAAGGAAGTCGATGCTCGGGGAAAGGTCCATAGAGAGATTGATAACCACTGAACCTGAGCCCACTTCAACAAAGTTCATCAATATTCTACGTCACGCTTGGCTGAGTCGAGGTGTCATATTTCACGACACGAGATCCCGCCTTTCACGTGGGACAAGAATTCACTTTGTGCTATGAATATAAATTGGACTATATATGGTACAAAACTCCGGTAATGGTATGGTTTTATATTTTAATTGTTACATATATTATTGAACTTGTGGGCAATGTGTTTTGAAATTATGAAATTGTTTAATTGGGTGCAAATTATACTAATTCGACAATAAAATTAATATACGAAAATTCCGTTTGGCATTGGAATTTATTTGGCAAAAAAAAAAAAAAAAACTTTGTGCTATTTTCCGGCGCCGTATGTTGTTTTAAACTTCTTTTTATACCGCTGCGATATCTACTTGTTCCGATGTTATATACGACAATGATACCTACGCTATTCATATTTCGTTTACTATTTCCTGATACTGTCTGAAGTAAATTAAGATCTAATTGTAAATGACCGGAAGAACCCAACACCCCAATCCACGATTTGTGCATAGACTGCTTGCTATGGAACATTCAATCCATTTACTTAGCTTGTTTTTTAGTATAAAAAATTTGTCACTGTGTTACTTTTGCAACGTAATTGAACTAGGCCTACAGCATCACCATTTTTCGGCAGCGAGTTTTTTTAAACCATATATCTGTAGGAAAAGCACATACACGTCTCACATTCAAATTTGAATTTATAAGATATTGCCCGATGTCACATCGTGTTTTTTTTTTTTTTGTGTTTTGACTGTTTTTGGGGGACGGGCACGTACTTGTACATATTTAACTTTAATATTAAGTTATGCCCGTCCTCCAGGTCCTCTGTATTTTGTTTGCCCTTTGTTGTTGGTTTGTTTGTATCAGAGTGACCAAATAAAATTGATTGATTGATTGACATTTTGGCACACATACAGATACCATTACTGTTATATGATTGACAGATTGGTTACATGATTGATGACATTCCAAACGATACCGATGCAACTGTTCAGTATTTCATATTTAAATTGTTATGTTGGTCATATCTGTAGCTGATGGTTTATATCATTATTTATTATTGAAAAATAATCTGACAGCAAATGCTGAAATGGGATATATGATTGAGTAGGTTGACAGATTGGTTACATCTCTACATGAGTGATGAGATTTTAAATTTACTATGAATCCTGGAATCTGCTACAATACCTGAATACAGCAATACCCAGATACCAGAATACGAATACAACTGTTCAGTATTTCATATTTGAATTGTTATGTTGGTCATATCTGTATGCAGAGTACGGGTATGTCAGTATGCGATGATTTCCAGTATTATTATTTTTATTTATTATTGAAGAAAAATCTGACAGGCCTACAGGCTACAGCTGTACTGTAATATCAGAATATACAGATGTAGCGATCTTACTACTAATTGAATACAGCGCAGAAGAGAGGGAAAGAGCGCGAAACTGCGGAAGAGAGAGAGAGAGGAAAACATTTTTCCTTCATTATTTATTAGCGTCCGTGAAATTTTAAACAATTTGATGCGAAACAGTATACAGTAGTAGCGAATGATCACGTGTTTATATCAGTAATCTTTCTGTCTTTAAATAACCTAACATGACGCAATATGAGCACACCAATGGGCAAGATCAAAGAAATTTTGGAGCTCCAGAAGTATGTGCACCAAGATGGCGCACCTGAAGACAGTATGTATACCAGGTTCAGAGGTTAGAGTGCGTCATGTTAGGTTATTTAAAGATGTTGAAGATTACTGATATAAACTTGTGATCATTCCCTACCACTGTATACTGTTTCCCATCAAATTGTTTAAAATTTAACGGACGCTAATAAATAATGAAAGAAAAATGTCTCCATCTCTTCTGCGCCGTTTCCCTCTCTTCCGCGCTCTTCGCGCTGTATTCAGTAAGTAGTAAGACCCGTAATATAGTGTCAGAGTGTTGTAAGAATGATCACATTACGGCTTTAACTAGTCTACAGTCTAGAACTGTAGTAATTTTGTTGATATTCGAGTTAAATTAATAAACATGGTGGTACACTACAGTCCACCAATTGCAAGAATAGCCTCCACACAGTACAGCACACTATCATAATTCCAAGATTGTCCCGACATTTGGTTCAATGAAACAAACACTCCATGTGTCTCACAAACGAGGGTCCTCTGGCACAACGGCAGATGTGTCATATCGTGCCATTCTTGTCTCGATACTAATCTAAATTAATCGCACCCGTCACATGACCAAAATTGCCGTTTTTTGTTCAAAATGCCACAGTAGAAAATTTTTTGCTTGGGTAAATCGGATTATTTTTTCCCAAGGAATTCAATGATGACGTTTTTAGATTGCGGTTCTATATACTTTTTCATTTAGTATTTCGACAATCGGACGTCACGAGTATAATTGTCTTATTGCTTATCTTTCCATATATTCACAGTTATATTCATCTGCACTTTTAGATTTTTCTATTTTTTGTTCAAAATATTTTAAAATGGAAATCCCGATAATTGATTTTCAAAAATGCGGGCTGATGTATGCAAAAGACAATGAAATTGAGGAATCTTCATTTATTGAAATTGGGAAAAAGTTATTTAAAGCATTTTCAACATCAGGATTTGCGTACATTACAAATCATGGCGTACCAGATCAAGTTATCAATGAAGTGAATAAAGTGTCCGATGATTTTTTTGCAACTTCACTGGAATACAAAATGAAATTTTGCTCGAAAAGCGTTGGAGTATGTTACAGCCCAATTGGGAGTGCAAATGCAAACTTAGAACGGCCTGCAGTTTTTGTGGAAGGCCTTCGATTACCGTCCTGATCAGAGTTTAATGAATGGCCTGACATTGAAAATCTAAATCATACAGTCGATACAATGAAAAAATTATGCAAAACTTTGACTCTGAGGATTTTCAAAGATCTTGGTAGAGGGATGAAGCTCAAAAATAAAGATTTATTTTACAAATGTCATAACTTGATTGGTAAAAAAGGAAATCAAACTCTTCTCAAGCTTTTACACTATCCACCACTCGCTGGTGTTATGTTAAAGGAAAAGCAATTACGTTGTTGCGAGCATTCTGATATAGGCTCATTAACGATTCTATTCCAAGATGATTTGGGGGGGCTTCAAGTCCAAACCCCAAGTGGCGAATTTATTGATGCTCTTCCCATCCCAGGGACAGCTCTCCTCAATATTGGTGACATGTTACAGTTTTGGTGCTGAAAAAGACTGAAGTCTACTGTACATCGGGTCATTTTGCCGACTGAATCGAGTAAAATATCACAAGTTCGAAGATGTCTTGCGTATTTTGGTTTTGTTGATGATGACGTTTTGTTATCGATGACGTTTTGTTATCTGAATTAGAATTTGAAGATTCAGTTTCAGATAAAAATATAAAGAATGAAAAAAGAATGACTTCATATGAATATTGGAATGAACGATTTGCAGCATATTTTTATAAAGAAAAGTGAGGTTTTAAGATTTTAAAATGTTTTTGTATGTAAGAGGAATAACAATGTTTAGTTTGTAATGTGATGCTGATTTTATGGCAAAAAAGAACCATGTGGATGTGGTTTATTTTCTCATTTGTAAGATGGTTCTGGTTCTCAGAAACTCGTTTGAGGGAAAATTCTCAAATTAAAACACATTACAATGGATATATCTCATTTTGTATATTGTAAATTAATGAAATTCGTGTGAATTTCAAAAAATTACAGCTGAGCAGTTCCATGAGATCCTAGTCGGTCTCACGTCACCAGACAATGATTTGAGAGCAAAAGCAGAGGTATTTCTATCTTTTTTGAATTCACAATATATTTATAACAATATCCCTCATAGCTCGGCGCATCGCTAATTAACCAGTGTTTCCAGACCAATGAATTTATTTGTGTTGTGCAAACGACGTAATTTGGCCTTAAATTTCTGGGGTTTGTAGGACTTTGACCGTAAATAATGATTATTGCCATGCGTTGTTACATGTGGGGGTGCCCGATGAATTCTCGTTGGGGTTCAGAATAATTATTGCAGTAGCAATTGATCGAATTTTGGTGATCAGGGTTTTTAGGATCCCTCTCCAGATGTGAACTAGAGCCCACTTCAACAAAGTTCATCAATAATCTACGTCACGCTTGGCTGAGTCGAGGTGTCATATTTCACGACGCGTACCTTGCTTTTCACGTGGGACAAGAGTTCACTTTGTGCTATTTTCAGGCGTTGTATGTTGTTTTGGACGTCTGCGATCCTACTGGTCCTATGTAATATACCAGCGGTTCCCAACCGGGGGCCGATAGCACGAAGCAGTTAGAGGCGCGGGCTACGAGTCCCACGACACAAGGCCAATAATTGATCATAAAGCAACTTAATTTGCATACTTTTCTTTTAAAATAAAATCTCCCGTTCAGGTGTTCACCTCATTTCCATTACATGAATAGGTTATTTGCGATTACAGGGTGAATTGTTTCAGCATAATGCCCAAAATACGAAAATGGAACGACAGTCGGCTTTCCTCTCCAGGATAAATATGTAAATCCTATCCTATTTTTATTTAATATTAATATTGAAAAAAAAATTTGATAACCTAATGCTGTCGACTGTCGTTACTGTTAGTATAAGTTGTTAAAAGAATTACGGTAAATCAGGTATATTTTTGCCTGACTTCATTACATTATTAAGTCAGCTTAAAGTCATGACTCCAGCTACCGTAGTATCGTTGTCTATAAATTCATTTGTCTGATTGTACCCTTATTCTCCTGTTATTACAGTATCAAGTATACTGGTATATGATTAGTCACCCAGCAGCTTTATCAACTATACTGGTATAAGATAAGGTTAGTCTCGAACTGTCGAAATCAGGTGGCATGCGCCTGCTTTCCACTTTTCTCTCTTTTTTTTTATTTTTTTTATTTTTTTATTTATAAAAACAGTCAATATTATCAATACTAGTCAATCTTAAAAATGTACTATCAAAAGCTATGACATTACCGACTTTTCTAACAAGTTTTCAATTCTTCCATCCTCCAAAAAGCTATTTTTCTCTCTCTTTTCTCTCTCCACATAACCAAGTCATACTTAAGTATACATTCCACATTTTTCAATTAATATACAGGTATAGGCCAAATCGAGTCATCAATTAAAAGCATCATGATACAGTGATAGAAGAGTTATATTTAAATGGAGTTCTGGAGTTATCTATTTTAATCAGTTTTGTTTATTAAGTGGTATTTTCAGTGTTTTAACAATCAGAAAGTTTAGAAGCATTGTTGTTTTATCTCTATCTTTTTATATATTTACAGTTATTCTCATTTTCACTTTTCATTTTTTGTTCAAACTGTTGTTTGTTGTTGAAATGGAAATCCCTATAATTGATTTTCAAAAATGCGGGCTGATGTATAAAAATGACAATGAAATTGAGGAATCTTCATTTATTGAAATTGGGGAAAAGTTATTTAAAGCATTTTCAACATCAGGATTTGCGTACATTACAAATCATGGCATACCAGATCAAGTTATCAATGAAGCGAATAAAGTGTCTGATGATTTTTTTGCAACTTCACTAGAATACAAAATGAAATTTTGTTCCAAAAGCACCGGAGTATGTTACGATCCAATTGAAAGTGTAAATACAAACTTAGAACGGCCTGCAGATTTTGTGGAAGGCCTTCGATTACCGTCCTCATCAGAGTTTAATGAGTGGCCTGACATTGAAAATCTAAATCATACAGTCGATACAATGCAAAAATTATGCAAAACTTTGACTCTGAGGATTTTCAAAGCTCTTGGTAGAGGGATGAAGCTCAAGAATAAAGATTTATTTTTCGAATCTCATAACTTGATTGGTAAAAAAGGAAATCAAACTCTTCTGAAGCTTTTACACTATCCACCACTCGTTGGTGCTGTGTTGAAGAAAAACCAATTACGTTGTGGAGAGCATGCCGATATAGGCTCACTGACGATTCTATTTCAAGATGATTTGGGGGGGCTTCAAGTCCAAACCCCAGGTGGTGAATTTATTGATGCTCATCCCATCCCAGGGACAGCTCTTCTTAATATTGGTGACATGTTACAGTTTTGGTGCGGAAAAAGATTGAAGTCGACCGTTCATCGAGTCATTTTACCGACTGAACCGAGTATAAAATCACAAGTTCGAAGATGTCTTGCATATTTTGGTTTTGTTGATGATGACGTCTTGTTATCTGAATTAGAATTTGAAGATTCAGTTTCAAATACAAATATAAAGACTGAAAAAAGAATGACTTCATATGAATATTGGAATGAACGATTCGCAGCACATTTTTTTAAAGAAAAGTGATGTTTTCGGATTTTAAAATGTTTGTGTATATATTATGATTTTATGAAACACAATCTGAGTTGATTTTTAACAGGGTTTAGTTTATAATCCAATGCCGATTTTTCTTTAAATAGGAGTTAAAATCGTTACTCACGAAGTATGTGAACCAAGATGACGGACACCGGAACGTAGTGTGTGTACCCGGTTAGGCCCCAATTTTATTCCAATTTTCCTTATTTTAGTTCCATTACGAGTTCGAGGACTAGCCAAGTGACTTTTGTAGTGTTTGTACCTGAATTATGGCCTAACCTGGTACACATACTAGGTTCCGGTGTCTGCCATCTTGGTTCACATACTTTGGGAGTACAGGTACCTTTTTTTCTCATTCATTATGATGGCAAGATGGTTTACAATCTCAAAAACTTATTTACTCATTTGAGGGCAAGTTGTTAAATTAAAAAATATTACAATAGATATAACTAATTTTGTATATTGTCTATTTATTTAAGATATGGCACCAATAGTCAGTGTTGATTTATTGATAAGGCTTATAAAGGAATATCACATGTAAATAATCGAAGTGTCTACGAATTTTATAGATTAAAAACAATGTTAAAAAAAAGTATTATTGATTTCCTACATTTCGCTTTTTACTTCTATTTTCTGCGTACTTCTATTTTGCTCCTAAGCTGCGATTAAGGATCTCATAATTTAAACGAGCTTCGTAGGATGGGCCTATGGCTTTATTTTAAGTAATGCTGACCTGTGCATTTATCTCTGTTGCGCAACTCTGATAAATCTTGTTTATATGACAATCATAGTACTGATCAAATGATGTTGCAGTCCTGACAAGTGTCCCTAAGCCTAATGCAGTCGATACATTTTTAATTGTGCAATTTCATTTTATTCATCATTGTTTTATCTATTTTAGAATATTTAACATCCTATATTAACTATATACTATATAATTGAAAACAAAATTAATGAAATTTGTGGGAATTGCAATATAATGACGGCTGAGCAGTTTCATGAGATCCTGGTGGGTCTCACCTCATCAGACAATGATTTGAGAGGAAAAGCAGAGGTATTTCTATCTTTTCTGAATTTTGAAATCTGAAATTTTTTTTTAGGCTGTAGTGTTCGCCAAATTCTTCTTGGATTTAATTTACTTGATAGATATCAACTATGATTTTGAATTTACAAATTGTTGCAAGCTGGGACCATTATTATTATAATAGAATGAGCAGGAGACTTATCTACAGAAATTTTAATGGCTCAGGCTCTTATAACCATCTAATTTTTTTCACATTTAATATTTATTCATACTTTATCAAAATAATAAAATCTAACCTTTTCATTTTTTTTTCAATATTCACTTAAAATTTTCAAGTTAAATTTGTGTAGTTCAAAGTTTAATTTTAAATTCTTATATATCATGGTTTCGAATTCCACTATTGTGTATCTGCATTTGGATGATGTTTCATTTTTGGTCATAACCTGTAACTTAAAAATATCAATAGGCTGGCACTATAACCATGCTTGATTACACCTGTATATGAATCGAAGTACTGGTGGAAAATTGTAGTCAACTATACTGCAATATTGTGGGATGTGCTTTGTTCCTTATTATCTTTTAACTCAGCGGCTCTCAAATTTTTCAAGCCGCGCTCTCTTTTTAGAATTTAGAAAGTCTCTTCAACTGTCTACACGCACCACACCGTTTAACAACCACTGCTTTAACTCCTGATCTTTTTCTCCTTTGGAAATTTTTAAATATCCTATTTTGTCTAATTTAGTGTTGTGTGTGATTTTTGGGATCGTATTTTAAGTTTTAAAGTTTTGTTCTACAGGCAGCTTATGAAGAATTTCCGATCACAGATCGCTTCACACACTTGATGGAAGTAGTGAGTATTTTGAATGGAAATGACGAAATTCGACAACTTTCAGCTGTTTTGATGCGAAGAATTGTGACAAGCAATTATGAAGAAGCGTATATTCCTTTAGGTATGTTTGAAATTGGACTTCTTTACTTTTGTCAAAGTCATTGTAGCCTTCATTTTAAAAATGTCCATTATTACTGCTGCAGACATATCATACAAAACGAGAAAATTTTTGCTACGCTATTTGAACTCCTAAATTAATAAAATTTTGCTCATTTTCATCAAACTCATATGATCAATATACTATGCTCATATAAATATCTCCATTAATATCACCTTTTCTGTGCAACTTAGGGATCGTAAATTACAATATTGGATATTCGTTTGTGGAAGGCTGCTCGTTACTTCTTCATTCTTAGAAGGTTTACATAGTTTAAGTGAGAGGTGTGCAAATTGCGTCCAGCGGGCCAAATGTGGCCCACAAGGAAAAGTTGTGCAGCCCGTAAAACAAGTTTTTACTTTAGTTTAATCTGGATGTGCTAGTAATTCAATCCCTTTGCGTTGAAAAGCCTATACCAGAGTCTAATTTATTCTATGGTATCTATGTTACAATGTCCTAACAGCTATTAATATTAACAGTTATTTTAAGGTTTAGGCTGTTGATGGGCGTTGGATGCTTCCAGTCACTTCTTTGCACCGTTTTTTCATTGGCCTTTGCTGCTGCCTTGGTTTCTTTTACATTCCCGCGCTTTTTGGTAGTTTCTGGAAGCGAACAACACATGTCATAAGATAATGACCGAAATTTTTGTGCCTGCAACTGAAAGTGCGGCCCGCGGTTTCATCGAGTTATTTGTATTTGGCCTTCCTGTATTAAAGGTTGCACACCTCTGGTTTACATAATAACTAGTAGGTATGGATGTGACGGATGTCTCAAACAACCTTGTATATGCATTTAAAATTCTATAAATTTGCTTTGTAGTGTTTAGGCTGTGATTTGTCATTTGATCATGATGTCTCAGCTTTAATCCCTGATAAATAAGGTTATCTTATTTCATGATGTTTTCATTTTGATTTAATTGTTGGGTTGAAATTGCTTTTCTTATGCATTTACTGTACTCTTCTGCATTTATATTTAACCAACATGGACTGGTAATCAAAAGAGAGTCTGTGGTTCATCATCTTATTATGCCATCTAATTAGTTTTCCTCTCCATATACTAAATATCGATATCCTATTAACTTCTTCTTACAGCCCCAGAACTTCAGCAAAGAATTCGTGAACAATTATTATTCACATTGAAATCGGAACCGAATAATGTAATGAGGAGAAAGTTGGGAGATTTTGCTGCAGAACTCGCAAGAAAACATGTTGGTAAGAAAAAGATGTTGAATTCGTTACTTTCTCCTTTCATTAGTGATGGACAAGTGTTTCTCACCTAGGACGGTTTGAACTAGAAAAAAAAAATAAAAACCTATTTTCATTTTCAGTTTAAAAAAGTGGCCCAAAATCAAACGGATATTAAAAAGTAAATGCAAATTGTTGTTGTTGTTGGCCTCACCTCCGTCAAATTTATCTGCTGATCTTCAAGCAAACTCACCTCGTCGGCTAAGGCCTTCTCGTACCAGTACCGCTGAGTGAACTGCGTGTCTGTATATTAAAATTTTTCCCATTTGTTACAAATTAAATTAATAGTTTTCAATATGGTTAAAATTTCTTTCCTAACAACTTCTAAATTGAATTATGTGCGCATGATGCAAAATTGGGAGTAAAAGACAATCATCGCATTGGGGAGTCATAATCAATTTTGCAATCATTTAGCATGAAGATGCTCTATAAAATGCGGTTATGTGGTCATAGTCTTTGTTTGTTATAAGGAAATATTATTGCTCAAATTCAGACTTATGTATTTCATGCTTCTATCTTGAGTCCAAAGCGTGAGCGTCGGTATGTTTTTTTGAGTTGACAAAGAGAGGAAGTGGTTGTGCGTATTGCGTGGTAGATTTCTTGTTTTCTATATATTTCCTCATGTTTGTATGACTCGGGCAATGCTGCAGTTTCTGCAAACGGACACCGATGACAGAAATCATAATATGTTTCATACTTCATTATAATAACTCGTTAGATTAGTGATTCAGGTTAAATATGATGTGAAATGAGTTTTGAACGTAAACTGATATGTAATTATATGTATTTACAATGTAATCCATTTCAAATTGCTATTCGTTTTTTTATTTTCACAATCCTAATTAACTAGGGTGCTCAAACTGGGCCCTAAGCTCTTCTATGTTCCTCCAAAGTGGCCCTTTGGGGGGCAAAGGCCACCACTAGGCACCATTCACGTTGACTTCATTACTGAGAAAGAAAATTCACTGCAAATTTTTAATTCCTTGATTTGATGGAAACCCATTATGAACATACAATTCATTTTCCTTTTTTTAATGAAGAACCTGGGGCCCTGGGGCGCAGAGGGTCTTTGAAATGGCGCCACCGATCAAGAAAGTTTGTGAATCACTGATCTGACCCTTATTTAAAAGTTCTTTTCAAAATTTTTTTTGTGAAAAGTTAGTTCCTTGTTGATTTTGTCCCCGTGTAGGCAGCTTTGTTTTCAAATAATTTGTATCATCTAGTGCAGTGGTTCTCAAACTTTTTAAGCAGCACCCCATTTTTAGAATTTGTTTAGACTTGCGCCCCACCTCAGAAATAACTATCTTACAATAAGCTACAAATAACAGATAGCCGAGCGTATGTTTTATTAAAAAAATATTTAAAAATCTGTGAATGGAACGTAAATAATGAAATAAGTGAAAGTTTTGAAAACAAACAGAGCCGGCAGGATCAAATCTAACAGCTTCATGCCCCCTCAAATAATTGTCTACGCCCCCCTTGTGGGGTGCGCCCAACCATTTGAAAATCACTGTAAATGTGTTTCTCGTCAAAATCTTTTTTATTAACAGATGATGACGGGAAGAATCACTGGCCTGAAATATTGAAATTTTTGTTTGAATGTATCAGCTCAAATGATGTTGGTTTAAAAGAAATTACACTTCATATATTTTGGTGAGGAATTTGTGCATCATCTTTTGAGAAATGAGTTCCAACTTTGAGAAAGATTATTAAAGAAATTTGAGTATTTATAATCGGAACTGTGAGCTGTGGACAGTTTCATCTTCCTGACCTTTGGTTTGAAAAAAATTTGACTTATACCCCAAGATCCAGACTACAGGTCTTGAAAAATATTTGACTTCAGCTTTAAAATTGAACAAAATCAAGTTTTGATAACAAGTACTTTGGTGTAGGCAAGCCTCTTTTGATGGACTGTTTAGAACACTTAGTAAACATGATGCTTATTGTATTGAAAAATAATGTGAACTTTATCATCACCATTGAAAGTATATAATTTTGAGTACTCCCATAGTGTGTGTACCAGGTTGGGGCTAGGCCATAATTTATAAGTTCTATTAAGTTCTAGTTCTATTACGAATTCGGGGACTGTCTGTGTTAGCCAAGTGAATATATACCCCCTGCTCATAGGTTTCAGTCCCTTTACACAACTCGATGTAAAGTAGGCGAGCAAAATTAGTTACCTCTAAACTGGTACACACATTCCTGGAGCGCCAAATTTTGACCTCAAAAACAGTTCAATCTGAAGCTCCCAGCTCTGATTCGAATATTGGTCATGTCTTCACCAATTCTAAATTTTTGGCCCATCTCATATAATTGCTTTTGATCGCCACGTTGTATAATTTTACTTCGTCACTTATTCCATGCATAAAGAACTAATCAACTATTCTCATTCCCGACTTGGACTGGATGAGAGGCAGTGTAGTCAAGAGGCATTAGCAATATAATTTGGCTATCTTATCGACTTTCCTCTCCCCTGAGATAAATATGAAAATCTGATCCTAAATTTAAAACAAATTTAGAATTATTACTTTTTGGGTTGTTTGCCATATGATATGGCTATCATAACGACTTTCTTCTACCTTAGAAAATATGAGTAAATCCTATCACTAATTCACAAATTAATTTAGAATTTTTTATTCTTCAATTTCCAGCCAATATTCCGGAATATTTGGGAATCAACAAGCTCATTATCAAGATGTTCTCAGACAAATGCTCGAACAATCAATGCAAGATGAACAACCACCTCAGGTCAGAAATTATAATCTTGCTTTTTTGTAACATTATCAATCATAACATATATATGAAGACTTAATGTTAGATTTTAGAGCAGTTTATAGTTGTCATCGTTCAGCTTGTGAAACTAGAATCAATTCCAAATTGAAAAATGAAAATGTTTTTACACATGTAACTCTTCTAATCAGAGGAATGGCACGAAAAATTGTAAATTTATAAATAATCTACCAACAGTACACTCATAAATATCAACACAATTCAACAATATTCTGGAGTGCTTTTATTCAACTATAACTTGGTATATAGTTTATGAATGATTGTATTCTACTGAAATTGAGAAGCAAGTTTTGAAAAGCAAGGCGTTTTCAATCTTTAACATTTAAAGGATGAAGATAAGTTTCGACTTATTTTTGTTATAGGTTTCATTCTTAGCAGCACGAGCAGCAGTTGCATTTCTTATTGAAAACGAATCAAATACCCAGTTGTTGAGGCATTATCAAGATTTATTACCAGGGATATTGAAGGTAGGTGGGATGTAAAATGTTTGTAACAATGGTTAGCATATACCATACTAGGCGAGATTGGATACCTTGTCCTTGAGAGACGATTTATGGTGATAGGAATGCTGGACTCGTTGTTGTTGTTGTCATGGATTGACTCATACCACTGGTCGGTTACAGATTCCTCCACCCAGCCTGGACTGGCAAACAAAAGGACGTGGTTCACAATATGATTAACACTTTCACTACAATTTTTTTGATGGTCTACTACGCCATATTTGTGCAAAATTGGGATTTAAAAAGGCTTTGTCAAAACTAGCGAAGGCTAAAATCTAAATTACCGTTTTTATTAAAATTGTCAGTTTTGACAGCTGAATTGCGATTTCTATCTCATTTTTTTTACTGTGGACAACATTTATTCAGGAGACCTAAAATCTAGTTAAATTCCAAGGTAATCCAAACTTGGAATGATTTAATAAATGTTCCCATTTTCACAGGCAACAATGAAGAGTGCATCAGATGGTGATGATGAAGTTTTGAAAAGTTTGGTTGAATTATGTGAAGATATTCCCAAATATATCAGGCCCAGAGTCGCAGATCTTCTTACAATGTGCTTGAAGGTTTGTCACTTCGATACCGCTTTAAATATGGAACTGCTGAATAGAGATGATCGGAGAAGTATTATAATTCTCCTCGGTCACTGTCCAGTGACTTGGGCTTATTCTAGGCCTCAAAGAGGTTCGAAAAACACAGAAATCTTCAACTTTTTTCCATATTACTCTTGGTTATATTTTTAACGATTTATTTCTTCAGGCTCAGCATGGTCTGCCTGGGTATATCCAGAAGGGGCAGAATCCCACATTTTGAAATGTAAAAAAAAATCCCCTGTATCATACATAGAAATTTTTTATAGCTTGAAACGTTTTTTAGACCCTCAGGAATTTTGAAACCCGCATTTCTAGCCTCCGGTTATACCCGCTAGCTGTCACAGTCTAACTTGGCAATTAGAAATTTCAGAACCCGCCCTTGCTTTGAAATTATTGGCTTCTCCCCTGTCTTAGCCCACCAATTCTATCAATACATTCAGATTGTATAATTTGTCCAGAATCTCCAAAAAATATTCTCGAATATCACTTCTATAATAATGATACTGGGAGGTTCCTGCATAATTAGTCTGCTTGTTAATGTTTAATCCTGACATGTGAATAAAATCGTTTTGTACTTGCAGTTAATAGGAGACGTAGAAATAGAAGAATCAATCAGACAACTCGCATTAGAAGTTATTGTAACACTTGCTGAAACAGTACCGGGACTTATCAGGAAACAAAAGACTTATATTTCACAAATAAGTAGGACCATTTATTTCATTACTGTATGCTTTCTATGATAAGAAATAATATTGTGAATAGAGAAGTCTGCGCTCCAGAAGTGTGTGTACCAATATGGAGGTAACTAATTTTGTTTGCCCATTTTACATCAAGTTGTGTAAAGGGAATGAAACCTATGGGCAGGGGGTATATTCACTTGGCTAACACAAACAGTCCCCAAACTCGTAATAGAACTAAAATAAGGAGAATCCGAATAAAATCATGGCCTAACCCTAACCTGTTACACACACTACGGGAGAACTGAGTTGTCAATGTTTTAGTTACATTTACCATTTAATTCTGTCTGGTTATTAATATTAATTAATAATTATACACTCCGCAATGATTTTATGATTAAATTGATGCCTTACTGAGATGGTATCTGATCACATGGCGAATCAAAGATTTCTAATCTTTTTACTAGTCCATGTCGGGTGTGGAATTAGTAAGTCAGGTATTCGTTTCAGATGCATGGAGGAAGCTGTAACCAACCAGTGGTTACGTTAAACATCCTACAACCCTCAAATTGAGGTGTTGAACTTCTTCAATATGATTTTTGCGAGTATAGATTATTTTGAGTTTTGTTTAAACTTAGGTGTTTGGACATCTTGAATTATCAATGTCATCTGTTGTTAGGATAGGACACGATTTTCATAATTACACTTGGAAGAGCTGTTAAGACAGCTTAACCACATGGCGAACCACGACCATCATTTGGTCACCATCATCTGGTCTATGTCAAGTGTGGGATTAGTGAGCCTGTTAGTTATTACTTATCGATCTTAAGATCGGTAAGTATGTTGATAGGAATTTGTCTGTTTGTTTGTTTGTCTGTTAGATACACGCGATATCTCGCGAAAGCGAGGATGAATCCGCTCCAAATTTTGCATATGCATTCATCATATCTCGGGTCAGAAGCCTATTGATTTTGGATGAATTATTTCGTATAATTAGCAAGTTATTAATTGATTAGTGATGGGACACAAGGTGTCACTATGGAATAAGAGTGCTGTTTTTGGGGGATCCCCTAACTTTCGATCGACAAGTCTTCGGTCTCTGACCGATATTCTCGTTTGGATTAGTTAGCCAGTTATACCCTATGGCGAGGGGCCAGCAATCCTTTGATGAATAATCATCCCTGAGGGTATTCGAACAAGATAATCAGATGTGCACAAACAAATTCCTAGCGCTTAGCATGTTGCGCCACCTGTCAAGATAGTTTTGTGATATTATTTGAATAATAAACCTGTTTGTTATTAATACATGATTATAATAACCTATTTTTTACAGTCCCACAGACTCTCGCTCTCATGGTTGACTTAGAGGATGAAGATCCCACTGAATGGGCAAACTCTGAGGACACGGAAGAGGACGAATGCGACACCAATCCTGTAGCTGGAGAAAATGCTCTTGATAGACTCGCTTGTGCCCTCGGTGGTCAGGCTGTGCTTCCACATATTCTTGCAACGGTTCCTGCTATGCTACAAAATCGTAAGTAACGATTTTCATAGATTTCATGTGATTCAAGAATTTTGCTGCACATTTACACAAATATATATCTGCAGCTTTTGAATCAAATAGAATAGCCATATTCTTGCTACATCATTCTTGCATTAAACTCATATAGATCCACTATCGCTATGGTATAATGGAAGAAAAGGAAAATAGGATAGGCTTTTGTAATGTCAACGAACAGTTTTTTTGTTGAAAAATTTCAGATCAATGAAGCAAAATATAGAAGAAAATTTTAATTGTGATGGTTATAGTTTGTCATAGTTATTGAACACAAATAATTTTGAATACGACAAATGCACCATTTTTACAATACGCTCATTCACACCATTTCCTTTGAACAATGCCCTGTACTTGCAGCCACTCATTTCTAGCAATATGTTATGAGTTACTATTTTTTAAGGGATCGGTTCAGCTTTGTCAGTTTTATGTTTTAGCCGCTGGGCCAGTAGTTTCCAAACTTTTTGTTTATGCGGCGGCAAATTATCAGGAAAAAAACGCACTGTGAATGAAAAAAAATTGCTTCCTTTAAATAAAATTATTTATGTTTGCTAAACTCTGTTCAGCAGACATGAATTTATTCAGTCATATACATAGCATTTAAAATAAGAAATAATAAAAACATTCATAATAAATACAATATGTTAACTTTTCAACCATATATTATATTTAACACTATTCTGTTTCTGTCTGTTTTGGAAAGCACACTTCTTCCTTCGGGAATCGCTAGGCCATCGTTTCCACTGAATTAAACACTAATTTGAAGGAGTGTCAGGTCTTTTGAAACTAAGATTTTTTTAATACGGAATAATTCGAGCGATATCTATGTCCAGGCTAACACAAAAAACATATTAACATTCCTACACACATTACTAGAAATTGTCATGGCAGAATTATTAACGGAAAGCAGTCACACAAAACTGCTAATTGTGTGATTAGCAGAAGTCAATAAAATAAGGAGTGAAATTTGTTACTTTTGTTTGTGATTGAACAATGCTTAACGTTCCAAAACAATAATTCTACACAACTTTGTAACATGACTTCTTAATCATCATGGCTTCTTGTCCGATTACTATTGCCTGTTGGGTATGGAAATAGTCAACCAGTTGTTTGTTTCAGATGTATGGATTATTAAAAAAGTGTTTAGGGTTAGCTCATTTAACAATTTTGTTTCCTGTCTATTGCTGTGAGCGCAATGTTTGCCTTGTGTGTCAGTCAAATTCATACTCTTGTTACACTGCCCTTTATTATTATATTCTAGTACAAGAAACGAATGTTAATAATTCTTGTATTTCAGCTGATTGGAGATATCGGCACGGAGGTTTGATGGCAATATCAGCAGTGGGTGAGGGTTGCCACAAATACATGGAAGAAATATTGTCAGAGATTGTTGGTGTTGTTATTCCTTACCTTGGTGATAGTGTAAGTGGCTAAAAATAATCATTTGTTGCTCTACTGAGGAAAATAGAATGATTAATCTATTTACTCAAAAATGTTTCTAATATCGCTCAATCTCATACAGTAAGTCTCATGGTGATGTTGACCTTGTCATCTCATGGTCAAGTTTATTTTTTTTGTATCCAGTAAAAAAACAGTAGCGAATTAATAAGAATAAAATTTAATACCCACTATCTATCAGTTTGTCCTACTTTGAATCTTTTCATTTGTTGTTCACCTTTTATGTACCACCTATCCACCTCATTAGAGGTGTAACAATTAAGTAGACTTTGGACTACGCCGATATGTTATTAGGGCTGTCCAAAATCGAATCGAATATTTTCGCCGAATCGAACCGAATATTATTGCGCAATCCTAAATCTGTCTCCATTATACAATAAACGCCTGCCCTTCGATGTTGTGGTGACGTATGTGCAGTTACATCTTACTTACTGCTGGTATTTTGCAATACAGTGTTTTCAGATTCATGAAAGAAGTCACACGCTTGTATGAACTGGTCAAAAAAATTGGAGGACTCCAAAATTTGGGTCTTGAAAACTGTTGAGTGTTAAGACTAAGAGTAAAAATTGCACAATTCAAAAATTGCAATTTCAATTCTAATGGATTCAGTTTTAATAGGACATGTAAAGCCTGTAGATGCTATTTTAATCCTATTCACTAGGGTTATGTTTTTTTGTGTAATTTTCAGCAAAATAATAACAACCATTAATATAGATAAAACTGTTGCTCAAATTCAAAATTGCATTTAACAAATTCGAAGCTCGTTTGATGACTATAATGTTGTTAGTGTGAAACCGCCATCAAAATTCAAAGAGTGCAATTATTTGTCTTGTATTGCCATCATAAGAAATTACAAATTCCATTGAAAGAAGGTATTGCCATCATAAGGATCCCAAAACACCTGTTTCAGCTTTGAGTTGCCTGTACCAAGTTCCTATGATAACTAACTTAACAGCTTCAAATCGATTCTATTTATAGAACTATCGTTTTTCTAAATATCGGGAAACCAATTAAGCAAGGAACGAGAGTGGTCTAAGCTCGAAGCGCCGTCGCTTGCCCGAGAAAATATCTGCAAAGGTGGTTTCCGCTTTATGTACCCAATCTTAGCGATTCGAAAATTAGCCGAAAAACGATTCGAATAATTTGCGATTCGATTCGATTTCGAATATTTGGTTTGCATGGACAGCCCTATATGTTATCATTCATACTGAACCCAGTTTCTTCCTCAATATCTTGTGTCACTGTGCCCAATAATAAAAAAGAAGTATCTGTTATACACTATGTAGCCCAGTGGTGTCTAAAATGTGAATCACAAACTTATTTAGTGTGTCTCTTGAAATATCAATTCATTTCTGAAAAATCACTTCTCATGAGCCCACACGCAAAACAATAAAAATCACCAAAGTTAATGTTTGTAGATAGTATGACTCGCATATATCAGACATTTAGCCAAGTTATTATTGTTATGTGCAAAAACTGGATCACATGTAGCATTGATTGGATGTGTATGCATTGTAAAACCCTTTCTTAAAAAAGTCAAATTTTTTTTACAATTCAAGCAAATACGTCGCAGAGTTGATGTATAATTTTTACCACCTACAAATGTTTTTATATTTTTTAACCTAACTCTAGATTCCTTGAGGTAAAATTTCTCTCATTTTCAGCATCCAAGAGTGAGGTACGCAGCATGTAACGCAGTTGGTCAGATGTGCACAGACTTTGCTCCAACAATGCAGAAATCATTTCATGAAAAAATCATTGTTGGTCTTTGTGAGGTTTTGAATGATGACAAGAATCCTAAAGTACAGGTATGGAGAGCAAATCAACTACCTCGGAATACTTGATTACAGGAAGGATTCTTATCTAATTATTCTACATTAGGAGATAGGGCAATGCTTTTTTTGTAAGGGAAGTTTGCTGGAAACAAGGTCACTCACTCAGAATCAAAAATATGTGAGTGAAATCAATGGCGACCACAAAGATGGCAAGAGCAACTGGGACAATAAAATATCATAGTGTAGAGTTAAATAGTAAATACTGCCAATTTCTTCATTTAGCAGGGCCTATTCAGATTATATTCAAAATTCGATACTCCAGTACCAGTAGTATGTGTACCCGGTTAAGGTTGGGCCATAATTTTATTACGATTTTTATTATATTTGTTCTATTGCGAGTTCGGGGACTGTCTGTGTTCGCCAAGTTAATATACCCCTGCCCATGGGTTTCAGTCCCTTTACACAACTTGATGTAAAGTAGCCGAACAAAATTAGTTACCTCCATATTAGTACACATACTTCTGGAGTGACCACAATTCTATGTTTAAAATAATATTTGGATTATTTCATTATTTTGCACTGCTATATTAATATCATCAGTTGAAATTTACAGCCTACTCATATATTTATTTCCTGTAAACCAGGGTCATGCGGCTGCTGCATTGGTTAACTTTATTGAAGAATGTCCCAAAGGAACGATGATTTTGTATCTGGATCCATTATGTAGCAAATTGGAACAAGTTTTGAATTCAAAAATACAAGAGGTATGATTTTGTTGTTCAATCTGTAAAGAATATGGGATCATCTGCTGCTGATGGTAATTCATGTCGAATTGTTAAATTTGGGAGAAAAGTACTGTTTTTAACCTCTGATTCCTCGCGTGTGTTTGCCGGATCGGAACCCATGCGAGATAGTTATGTGCGAGAGGATTGCTGGACTCGTCGCCGTCACAGGGTGGTTCGTGTAACCAACCACTGGTCGGTTACAGCTTCCATCAAGTTCATGCTTCCGAAAACAAATAACTGTATAAATAATCCCATACCCGACATGGGCTGGTAACTAGACGAGAGGCAGTGGTTCGCCATATAATTAAGTCATTTTATCAACTTTCCTCTCCCCCGTGATAAATATGTAAATCTTATCCGAACTGGAAACAGATCCCTCAATTTACCAAACCTCCTCCCTCTGTACTTACTTTATGAAAGATAAGTTTTGGAATAAGACGCATTTTCTTTATAATCTTCAAAACAACTATTACTCCACAATTTGTAAATGGATACACAAATATTATTGATGATATGAATCGTTTTTTTTATCAATGACAAAGAATGAAAATCTTTTTCTTGGCCCCCAGAGAGTTGCTCTTCAATCTTGTGCTTGAAATTACTTGAATAGTAAATTTTATTTAAATCTGTTTTTTCAAATAAGACACAGTAATACCAAACCAAATATTGCTTCGTCATTGCTAATGGCCTAGGCAACAGTTGACCATCAATATTTTTGAATAATTCAATTAAAGTTTTTAATTGCAATCCTTACTTTTAGCTTCTTGTGAAGAAAACAAAACTGGTTCTGGAACAAATCACAACAACGATTGCTGCTGTTGCAGACAGAGCAGAAGAAAAATTCAATCCATATTACGACAGGTTGATGCCTTCACTGAAGTACATTATGGAGGTTAGTCAGATTGTATAGATCCTAAATTAGAAACAGAGCAGCTATCGAAGCATGTATCACAATGCTCTAAATAAGAGATTTTCAATTTGTGTGATTTTCCTCGTAAAACTAATTTAGAATGTATTCGATATTACCTATTCGAAGATAGTTTTTTGGGTTTTTATTCGCAATAGAAAAATAGTTGGTTTCGACCATGCCAGAAATAAAGTTTGTTTCACCCTTTCTACATTTTGTTTGCAAAAATATTTGGTTTTATACTTTATACATGAGCTGTTGAATTTGTGTAAACATCAAGCATATGTGTTTCCATGTGCTTTATAGTATATTTGATCACAGTTTTATTTAAAAACGCTTTCGTTTTCGAGGAAACCTAAAGCAATTTTTTGAATAGGTTTTGAGATTGACAAAATAACAAGCTCAGACTGTTTGTAATATTAAACCTTCAGTTTTGTGTAACATGATATTATTTTTGCAGAAATGTCATCGTTTTGCTTTCGTTCTGTGATATTTTGTAAACTCTTGTACTTTGAAACTTGATACAGTCACAGATTTGGTATTTACAATAAATATATTTACCTGGGCCAAGTTCCTGGAACAAATCAAAAATGCCCATATTATATCAATTCTGAATATTTCTCCACTTTTCGAAAACTCCACAAGATTCAATTTGTATCTTGACTGATGACTATAATATTTTAACTTTGTGCATTATTGGATTGTATATCCCCGGCTTGGCTTGGTTACAAGTTCAAATCTAATCAGAATCACCGATTATGATATGTTACCATAAAGTAGCATGTTTTGGTACTCCGGAACTATGTGAACAAAGATGGCGTACACCGGAACTTAGTACGTGAACAAAGTTAGGGTTAGGCCATAATTTCAGGTACAAATACTACGGGCGGGAGTCACTTGACTAGTCCTCGAACTTGTATTAGAACTAAAATAAGGAAAATTGAAATAAAATTATGGCCTAATCCTAACCTGGTACACATACTACATTCTGGTGTTCGCCATCTTGGTTCACATACTTCAGGGAGTACCCATGTTTTAATATGGCCAATATTATAGAAATAATGTTTCGTGACTGAAACAAGTTACTAAGCAAATTAGATTTTTCTGATGCTATTTTTCTGAATTATAATTTTTCCAGAATGCGAATGGAGATGAATTCAGAATGTTACGAGGAAAAACAATTGAATGTATCAGTTTGATTGGACTTGCTGTCGGGTCTGAAAAATTCATGAATGATGCTCAGGTAAATATCAATTTGTTTCGATTGCGTTTGCCTCTGAAAAATAGATCAAAACAAATCTAGTGGTGTGACAGAAACTAGTCAATATAAAGAAGATATTTGTAAAATTATTTCCACAAATTTTTCACTTGAAAATGAAATTTATTTATTGCACAGATAAATATTTTGATTCTTATATAGGTAGTTTCTGACACTATTTAAATGAATCAATACACTTGTAAATATAAAAGGCAATTCTGTAACAATATAAAGGCCTATAATGAAGCTCTAATGCAGCTAACTAAAGAAATCTATAATAAAACTAAGATGTCTGCAAAGCTAGATTTTTGTTAAGCATTCCACCATAATTTGAGAAATGGGCAATATGTACCATTATTGTATTTAATTATAAACACTGCTCTGACAACTTTGAGATTAAATCTGGGGTTTTCAACATCAGCGAATATTTCTGTCCAGTTGAACAATGATCAAATATCAAATACAAATATAGAATTGAAAGTGAATCAACGGTAATTTTAATAATAGTTCCAGTAAATCTTGATTTTCTATATTCATTAATCAAATGGAAACCTAAAACAATTCCAATTAGTGTCCGTAAATCTCATCAGAATTACAGTGGCCAGACATCAGTCTTCCTGTGTTCTGAGTGTGTGTGACTTTGCTTCGATCTAATTATCTTAAAATATTCTGGCTGTTTTCCTCACCATTTTTATATTTATTTTTCCAGTCAATAATGAATCAGCTACTCAAAGCACAAGCCGACATAGAATCCTGGGAAGATGATGATCCGCAGGTCTCGTACATGATGAGTGCATGGGCAAGGTACATTTCTCAATGCAGGGGTTTGCAGTCCAGATATAAAATTGTCTTTGTAAGGCTTGAAAGTAAAATTATGCTCAGAAGTTAAGTCCTCAACAGAAAATATTGATAAATATTTAATTTATTTAAAAGATTATTGGATTTTTTTATCAAGAGATCTCTGGTTATTTTTTTCAGGAGAAAAAGTCCTATAACAGATTTCTATACTGAATCGTCAATACGTAACTTGTGTCCATGGCCCAATTCTATATACAGAAAGGGCATTTATCCGTTTATTTTCTCAACCATGTATGTGGCCTTCTGTAAATTTTTAAAAATAAAACAATTTGAGATGAGACAAACTTTTTGCTTTTTTTCAAATAATTTCATTCATTTACCTATAACCTGCTTCTATCTAGAATGTGCAAACTTCTTGGTCAAGATTTTGTTCAATACCTTCCGATTGTCATGGCACCGTTGATGAAAGCAGCCGGGATTCGACCCGAGGTCGCCATGATGGATTCACAAGATGCCGATGTTGTAGAGGAAGATGAAGGATGGGAATTCATCAAGATGGGAGACCAGGTGTGTACTGATTGACTCATCTTGATTTTCGATGAACTCGTTGGCCTAACGCTTAGTTAATGTGAAAAAGGGTGCATTAATTTGGATGGTCAATGCCAAACCACAAAGACTCCGGTTCTACTTGAAATAGTAAATCCTGACATTTTATTAGATAACAGTGGCTTTGTGTAGAAATTTCATTAGAATCAGTCAGTATATTTATGTCTAGGACCAGCTTCTAAAAATCAGCTTTTCTGATACGGTGCTTTATAGATATGCTTTTATTCCATCCAGATTTTCTCTCACCTATATCTATATTTTCATCTTCTCAGAGAAGCTTCGGTATCAAAACAACAGGAATGGAACAGAAAGCAACTGCTTGTCAGATGTTGGTTTGTTATGCTCGTGAATTAAAAGAAGGATTTGCTAATTACGCTGAGGAAGTCGTCAAACTCATGGTTCCACTGCTTAAGTTTTTCTTTCATGATGATATCCTTTTTATATTGAAATTCTATGAAAAACTTCTGATTTGTGGAGTTTCACACAAACCTAATGGTTTCCCTGGCATCATTGAGTTGAATTGTTCCAAGTCTCAGGATAAATGCTAACTACTAACATGTCTGTCAAGAAAATAACAATATATAGCTTTAAGCTTGCCTGCGCTTCTTGCAACTTTTATTGGAACATATCTTGAAAGGCGTTAGACATACAGTTTTTCAGAGTGTATTCAAAATTATTTTGGTTTTGACTATTACCTATATTGGTTGGTAATTTTTATTTTTTCAAGGTGTTTCATATCGATTTTTCCTCCCATTTTAACGTAAGATTTTTTATCAAATGTGAGTATTTTTCTTATCTTCCTATCTGAATACGAGTGAGAGCATCAGCCGCAGAATCTCTTCCTCTATTGATGGAATGTGCAAGTTTGCGAGGAGATGAGTATGTTGCACAAATGTGGGGATACATTGCTCCTAATATTCTCGAGGCTGTTTCACAAGAACCTGATGCCGATGTCATGCCTATGGTTATGGAAGCTTTGGCAAAGGTTTGAATGTTTTTTTTTTATGAAGAAGTTACAGTTTTTCTACCTAAGTGAAAATTTCACCCTAACATTTTCAAGCATTAAGATAGTTTTATGACAATTTTTTTTGTTATAAATATACATTTGTATATCTGCATCAGTGTACAACAGTGTATACAGTTTCTTGAATAGTCAAATAGAACTGCAAATAAGTTTCAAATTCCTTTGGTTGTATTTCTTTTAAATTTGTGGATCTTGGAACAATAATATAGTCATCAATTCACTGATTTGTCCATCTTTTATGTATTATGAAGCCACTGTACAAGCGGCCATTTAGACACAGAAAACTTGTTTGACTGATATTACCCTAACCAATTTGTAACACCTAGAGTAGTTGTCAGGATGACTGGCCGGGATTTGAATCTGGAGATCTGTGTGTTGGAATACAAGTATAATTAGTGCAACAAGCTAGCTAACTACAAGCCTTGGCCACAGCTGACCTTTATATTTTTTTACGATCAGCTTTCTTGGAAATTTTTGATGTTACTAACGAAATAATTATATTTCAGTGTATTGAACTTCGAGGTCACGGGTGCTTTACAATGGAACAATATCAGGAACTTGCCAAGACTTTGAATTCAATGTTGGAAAAACATTTTACGAGAGCTCAGGAACGACAGGAGAAAAGAAAAGATGAAGATTATGATGAGGAGGTATTCGTGTAATTTTGCATTATTAAATTTTTTTTGGATCCAAAAAATGTTTAGTTCGTAACAATGCTTCTCAAACTTCCATGATCCATGGCACTCCAAATACACTCAACAGTGACCCACATTTCAATATAAACACCTTTCGTCAGTTATTCTATTCGCCTCTTTGTAATTAAAAAGCGAACAAATGGAAGCAAAAAATTAAATAATTACAGCCAAAGTATCAAACCAATTGGGTTCAATTTACTTTATATTAGTGTGATTATTGCATATGATACTCAGTGATACTCATTTGCTTGTGCCCCTCAAGTGGGCTGAGGGCTCAGCTTGAAAAAACAGCTTTTGTTCACTTTTGGCTGTCATTTTAGTTTTTGTCAGGGAATAAGTAATTTACAATTTCTTGTTTTCTCCAGGTTGAAGAAACTCTTCAAGATGAAGATGAAGAAGATGTTTACATATTATCAAAAATTGCAGACATTCTGCATTCATTGTTTGGAACTCATCGCGATGAACTTTTCCCTTTTTTTGACTCAATTCTTCCGCATTATATTAAACTTTTGGTGAGTTTAGAGAGCTGTTGGGTGATTCATTCTGGCATTGCTATAGGCTTGTTGGATTATGATCGTAATTTGTGTAAGTTGTATTTTTAGTTGCCACAGACTTTCATGATATGGGACAAAACTTGACTCATTCGATTTGACAGCTTTTCACCCCTTTTTCTTTCGCCTCGTGCGCTCCTGTGCGTCACGTGTAACTAACGCTTTTCGTCAGCAAACTCACATGGCCAGGTAACGCCAGTCTAGTTGGTCTTCACTGTTGAAGATGGTTCAAAAACCTTATCTTCAGATGCACTAATTGAGCCATCTTTGATAGTCAAGTTTCAGAGTTAGTTTTTGCCTGGTTAATCTTTGCATTGTGAGGCGAAAATGTCGTCAAAAATTGGATTATTGATATGTCATTCTGCTCAGATTCTGAAAAAAATTATATTTTGATTATAGAGTGCATTCTGAATTAGTTCAGTTTTAGTTTAATGAGGAAGTTCTATTATTCATTTTACTGTTTCACAGTTGAAAACCTTGGGTATAGCTTCTTGTTTCAGCTTTAACTCCCTGTAGCCTTTCTTTTCCTGTAAAACTGTATTCTTACTTTATTTGTAAATTTTTATGCCGGATAAGTATACCAAATATAGATAATTTTATACAGAATTCAGAACATACCGACATTTTACAGAACATTTTTTAAAAACTTCTTTGTTGAATAATTGCAATAACTGTTTTAATTTTCAGGGTCCTGACCAACCGTGGCCCGATCGTCAGTGGAGCTTATGTGTATTCGATGACATTGTTGAATATGCCGGTGCCGCTTCTCTCAAGTATAAAGATATTTTTCTGAGGTAAGTTAACATGTGTCATTCAAACACCATTAATATAACAGTTCTAAAGGATTCAAGAGTCTTGCCGCACACTAACACAAATATATTTCTGTAATATTTCGTCTGATCAACCTCAACATGCACGATACACAATTCAACTAATAAGCAAAGACACTCGGGAAGTCTGACCTTGGTCTGGTGAAACATTTTGAAATATATTTCTGTTAGTACGGTATGTAGATAGAATCTTGAATCAATTAGAATAGTTATCTTCACTCTTGGTACAGCATTCTTGCATATGGATGGATAAGTTGTTAGTTCTGCAAAAACCCAATCAATCGCGCAATAATGTATTGAGGGGATAAATTAGAAAGTATAGTCCTTGTGCAGCCGAGTTGTTGCATAACATTTCAATTCTAAATTTTGTGCTACTTTCCAATAGGTTGGATAGATATCTCAAGCCTTCCTCAGCTCTATTAATTCCCATTTTTCTATTTTCACAGGCCTCTTCTAGCTTACCTGACAGACAAGAACGCAGAAGTCAGACAAGCATCATCCTATGGTATTGGAGTGATGGCAATGTTTGCTGGGGAAGCCTATGCTGATGCCATTAAAGGTAAAATATTTCTCAAATTAAATGCAATTTCTTGTGATTCTGTTGAAATTGTACGCTATGTTGAAGGCTTATAATGACTGAATATACATTGGAAACGTATTGAGCATAGTATTCTTTAAAAATAAGACAGAATATATTCAATACCAGATGAATGGAATAAAATCTGTAAAATATGCTTGAAAACATTCTTGGCTTTGTTTTATTATCATAGCTTTAACAAATAATAAAAAGCTTATGTTATTACCAGTGAGGCTCGAATTACTTTTAAAAAGCTAAGTGAATAATTATTACCAAAAACTCTCTGAAAAGTTTCCAAGTAGGAATGAATATTATTTATTCTGAAATATCAAGCTATTTGGATATAAACCTAACTCACAAACATAACACATAGATTTTCGGGTGCTCCAGAAGTATGTGTACCAATATGGAGGTGACTAATTTTGTTCGCCTACTTTACATCAAGTTTTAATGAGCGTAAAGGGACTGAAACCTATGGGCAGGGGGTACATTCACTTGTCTAACACAGACAGTCCTCAGACTCGTGACAAAAGTGAAATAAGGAAAATTGGAATAAAATTATGACAACCGTAACCTGGTGCACATACTACGGGAGTATCCTTTTTCCACTACAGGTTCTTGTATAAGCTCAGGACTAATATGCTACTGAAGTTTGTAAATACTTTTAAAAAATTGATTGATCTTTGTTTTAACAGAGGCACTACCGATACTACAAGCAGTTATTGAGGGACCCCTTTGTAAAGGTGTTGAAGGTCCTGTGTTGCAGGAAAATATTGGGCCAATGGAGAATTGCATTTCTGCTGTTTGTAAGGTAAAAGATAGTTTTTCTGTAGTTCTAGATTAAGATTAGAATGATAAATGTGTATTTGAGTGTTTTGTGTTCCTACTGCTTTAATTGTCATAAAATAGTTGATAGAAGACAATTATATTTTGTTCGACAGTTGGCACATGATGCAAAGTTTGTGTAACGTGCTTGCCATTGCACTTCTGATTACCCTGTGCAAGTTTGAATTCTGTAGGGGGGAGGGGGATTGTGTGGGAGACGTTTGCTTGACTCCTTGCCGTTGTAGGGTGGTTTAAGTAACCGCTGGCCGTTCATGCTTTTCTCTCCCATTAAGTCCATGTATCTGAAAAATATAACTGGTTAACTATTCTCATACTCGACATGGACTCAAAATCAGACGAGAGATTGACTGCCTTCTCATCTCTCGTCGTACGAAAGGCATGGTTTGCCATGGGATTAATCCTTCCTAACGCCTTTTTTCTCCTTCTGTATAAATATGAAAATCCTATCCAGCTAGATGCTAAAGTGCTTGTGTCGATTATTTTAGGTTCTGAAGTATCAGCCACATCTCATTGATGGAGATAAAGATGAGTTGCTACGGAGATGGTTGTCGTGGTTACCTGTTGTTGAAGATAAAGAAGAGGCAACTCATGTGTACAGTTTTTTATGCGAATTAATCGAAAAGTAAGTGGAGCCGGGCCCTGGCCTAGAAAAGGAAAGTGTCGTGTATTGGAAAATGTTCGAAATTTTTGGAATTTTTTTCATCACCTTTTTATAATTAGGATAATAAATATTTTCTCGCCATTATAACTTATATTTCAAAAACCTGAATCTTGAAAAAAAGGGTCAAGTATGAAGACCAAACTAGTAATTTTTGTTGAGCTTACGAAAGATATAAAATAAAGACATGATAAATACATAGGTGCCTTGTGTATAATTTATGTTATACAAAAATTCACAGCTTACGTTAAAACTGCTTATCTTTTTCGTTACAGCAATAATGCCGTAGTTTTGGGTCCTAACAGCAGTGAAATCTCACGGGCGATCGTACTTCTTAGCGATGCTATATTTAGTGGTGCTTTGTCAGATTCTGAAGAAGTTACTAATCATGTCATTTCAATCATGAGGCGAATTCAGGTGAGATATTTATAGGTTTCAGAGTTTTATACAAGAGGGTCATAAAGCTCCAAGGTAGAACTCACAGTGTATTATGATGCCGATGTACGTCAGTAGGTGACTCATTCTAATTTTGTAATATATCTTGACTGATCAGAGAAGATTGTGTTTCAGGAATCAAGGTTAAATGATTCCAAGGTTTTTGTATCTTTGGAATTTTGATATTTAACTTGATGCTTGACCATATGGCACCACTGTATATTTAATCTACATTACATAAATTACAGTGTATATATAGGCCTATACTAGGGATGTGTTAAATGAATCAAATATCTGAAGTAATTCCAATTTGATCATATTTGATATTTTTAATAGTTGGTTTTAGGAATCATGTAAAATAGCATCCATTGAAAATATTTTTACCATCTTAAGTCGGTAGGACATAGGATATACATTGACCCGGTACATGACCAAATTCAGAATGTATTCCAAATTAAAAAATGTTTTTTTGTAATTGAAATCTGAATTTTTCAGTCTTAGTCATTCTTGTATACGTGATATTTATCATGAGATTGTTAATATAACTGTCAAAATTGGTCATTGTTCAATTAAAGGATTTAGACCTATAAACTTTTGACAATATTTGGTATTTAATTTGGAACAGTGAATGCCTATATATATATATTTTTTTTTATATATTCTTTGGACAATAATATTCCAATATTATCCTTGCACAACAAATTTTTTCTTTTTATTCTTCAGTCATCAGCAAGCGATGTATGGATGAATGTATTGTCTCAACTTCCACCAGTTAAAACAAAAGCAGTTCTGTCAATTTTGGAAGATCATCAACATCCCGCATGATAATTCATATTAGTTAAAAATGGAATGGTTTTGCAATTTCACCATGGTGCCAACAAGGGAGATCTTAATAAGCATATTCTCCGAGTTGAACATAGGACTAGTTGCCAAATATAATAAGCTATGGATATACTTGAATTATTGTGTTCGGAAAATTCGCCGTAGGAAATTTTGCCGCATAGAAAAAATCGCAAGAGCATTTTGCTATAAAACAAGTATCTGTGATAAAAACAGAATCTTTTTTAAATAAGGCGATTTTTCTATGCGGCTAAATTTCCTGTGACAAATTTTCCTAGAACCCTGAATTATACCTGTTATACTGTTAGCTATTATGCAATTGGAAAAATGAATAGTGTAAACACTGAATAAATTTCGCTGTCTTTTGATCAATTTAGTTCTGCGTGCTGCAATGATAAAATTGTATGAAATCCTCCTCTGTATTTCCATCAATTTACTGGATTATTTTGCTTATTCAAGAAAATTGTTAGGAATTCCAGATTCAGTTTTTTTCCATTACTTTTACACTTTACAATAATAATAATTATGTCATTAATTACTATTCTCTAAAATAGAGGAGAATTACCAGTATTTTGAAATATTTGTTTGATGATTCAGTTAAACAAACAAAATTATTCGCATGTTGGTTCTCGTACCTACATAGCTTCTGTAACAGATCACCAAATACCACCTGATGAAAGGATTCCTTTTCAACCAATTTTGAAAAAAAAAACACCATGCCGGCATGTTATCACAGTTAGAGAAAAGTTTCATCTGTATTGAGAAAAAATTGACCAGCTTCTTGGCTTAGTTTAAAATAATTAGCTCGACTCGGCTTGTAAATTTGCGATAATTTATGCTCCTATCACAGAAACTATTTCTGTTGGATATTTTTGGTAATCTCAATGCTTTTTGTTATTTATTTAACTGTCTCCCACTTTGCCACTTGCGATAAGTTCAATATTTTAACCCCGCTTCGACTTCGAATTCTAGTATAAAGTAAAACTACGCTACAGGGTTACCTAGGTTATGACGCGATGTAATTGAAATAGATTATTGGCACAATATTTGACTTTTTCTATTTCATCAGCATACTGTTGAAAAATCCATATTTAGTGTTTGTACTTGTCATGGATTTAAATCACTCGATCAAAAATGTCAAATGTGGACTGGTTTCAATTCCTATGTTCTGTATGTTATCGTGCTGCCTATCCTCGCATGTTTAAACTATTTCAATCGTACGTAGTTTTGTTTCGTCATTTAGAATTATTGCTTTACCTTCCGTTTGTACATTTAAAGCAAATGTAATGGTCTGATTTTGCTGCTGAATTTAGTTTTACTTTACCTTGCATGATAGTTGAAATTAAACAAAATCGCTTACATTTGTATGTTACCTGCGTGGCTCTGGTAATTTGAGTCATGGGGAATGGTTTACTTGGAGTTGGATGACAAACCACCTTAAAAGTTGGTCTATTTGGAATGTCTCGTTATCGCAGTTGCACCGCTTGAGCCATGCATGGATTCCACATAATAAATGTTAAGACAAAAAAGAGACTATTGAACTCAATACTTATGTGGATTTTAATAACTGCCGGTGTGAGCATCTCCCTCAAACACGTTATATGTCTGTATGTCAACCATGGCCACAGGTGGATAGGGACAATAACGATTGTGTTAAAATACTGTACTGATGCAATATGCTGTCGATAGATCTCTGCTCAAAAACCTAGTACAGTAATGATAACCACGATGCTCAAGTTTGCATTGGAGTTGACGAATAAATGACTGATTGATAAGCTTATCCGCTAAGAAAACTGGTAACTATACGCCGCCATAAGTTTCAGTACCGTAAAGCCTGTGTTTGAGTTCTGGAGCAATCAGACGGATTAAATAATTTTGTGGCTAGCGTGACGTATGCCGACCAAAGCGAGCTTTATTTTTTATGTGCAGACGACCGTGTTTCCCGAAATTAGGACATTGTCTTATTGAATTTCAATTTTCTTCCTCAAAATAACACTAGGGCTTATGTTCGGGGATGTCTTCTATTTTAATTTATCAAAAATACAAAGTAAAGAATTACGATATTTTCAAATACTGGTATGCAAAATATAAAAACCGATATCCATTTACTTATGAATAACACGTTTTTATTCAAAATATCTGCAAAACATAGATTAATAAACGTGTAGGAGAGATTTCTTGCTACGGACTATAGGTCTTATTTTAAGGTGAGGGCTTACAGTATATTAAAATAATTCCTAATATTCAGGCTAAGTCTTATTTTCAGGTAGGTCATATTTTTGGGGAAACACGGTAACATACAAAGCAAATTTCGTCGTGGGATCGATAAGAACATGCGGCCCACAATGGACGAAAAGTCGGGGCAGATTATTATTCTGGGTTTTATCTATATTATTACCATACGTCCCGCTTTAGGCGGAACAGTCCCGCTTTTTAGCGTCTTGTCCCGCCGTCCCGACAAGTCAGCCAAATTTTCCGATTTTGCGTTCAGCCATCCAGCATAATACACGAACATGTTCTCGTTACTGTTGTTGCTGTGTAGCGCAACGCTAGCGTACTTACTGAAGGTGAATGCGTTATTTTGTTTGTTTCCTTGTTTCCCGCTAACATTGTTAGCGAACGCATCACATGTAAAATCAATTCTAATTGGTCCTGTTCATGTAACATTGAACAACGTTTTTTAAAGGCGTTATGTACAGAAAAAAATCATGCTTGGGCGAATAAGTAAATTCTCAAAACTTGAAAACGGCAGACTATTTCATTATTCTTTATTCCTGTTGCTGTACATAAAAAATCTAAATTCGGATCATTTGTATCGTTAGCGTCTATTCCTTCCTATTTTTCGAACTTAACTCGATATTTAGACAGAGAATATGCGCATGAACTCTCGATGACAATATGGTCAATGAAGACAGCCGGGGTGGCTTAAATGTAGGCCTAGGTAATAAAATCGGAAACTGTAAAGATACCGGAGGCGTCCCGCTTTAAAGTAAAAAAATATGGTAACCCTAATTATGGGCCCTCCTCCCTGTCGAAAAAAATTGAAATCAGGCAAAATATTTATGCCGAGTCACGTTTTCAGTGTTGTCACGTGACCCCTGATATTTGTTTACGTGTGTATCTTTGAGTGGAGGTGGTTCTTGTCAAGCAACTACCGAAAAAGGGGAAGCTAAACATTTAATACTTCGTAGTGGGTCAAGTTAGAAAAAAATCAGGATGCCTTATGTCGCAGGAGGTAAGATTTTTTACTATATAATATGAGTTTAATGAGCAGATAAATATTTTTTAGTCTGAACGGCCATGAACCGTTTTGTCCGGACTCGTTAAATTTCTGAATTTGTTTTTTCAAATTTTCACTTGGCGTATTCCATGATAATAATTACGCTATATACTGGGAAATAAATACATATAATCAATTTTATAGGGGTTCCTCGTGCCCCCAGAATGTTCATTGTGATTCTACCCCACAAAAAAGTTTGAAAACAACTGAATCAGAATATTTATCTGTTTCTGCTTTTTTTATTTGTTTCTTTTATTTTCTTCATTTATCAAAAGGTGTTGTAGACTCTATGACAGAGCAATCCTTCTTTCGCAATGGGAACCTGTCATTTTAATACCGTACTTATTACAGACACTTTAATGTTGAATGTTTTTTTATTTGAAGTCACAATAGAATAAATATAATTCTTCTTTGATTCTGATTATCTTGTTTTCATCAAATTATTGTATATTTGTACAGTAAAGCAGTTGTACTGTAGCATATAGTTTGACAGCACCAGTATGTTAATTACAAAATGGCCGCAGTTTCTAGATCGGTCCACCTTTGTTTTTTTATAGCCTAGTCATAATCCTATAACCGTGATTGTATATAACAGTCATTTCTATAATGTGCAACAAATAGGGTCTGTTTGCGTCCCGATTTAGTAATCAGTTTTATTTATTTTGTTCTTATCAATTATCTTATTGTCTGATTATTAATTATTCTATACTGATTATGGAGTCAAAAAATAAACTTATACTTATGAACCAAGACATGAATAGATCAAGTTAGTAAATTGAAAATGGTGCTTACAAGTTTAATTAATGAAACTTATAACTTGTGATAGAACGTTACAGTGAATAACAGTTTTTAAATAACATCTGGTAAAAACATGTCAAGATTATTACTAATTTAATAAGTGCATAATTGGTGATTTTTGATTTGACACAAGCCTAGCCTTTCCTTAAAATGCAAAACTTTTCACTTTCTCATACAATAATGCTCATCTGCTAACAATTCGAAAAATTTTCTGTACGCAATCAAAAATGCAAAACACCCTGTTAGATGGATATTTATTGAATTGTATTAATTTGTAACTGGTTAACTAACTGAACATCCACAACTATCATTTCAGTTTCATTTGCAACATAAATTTGCCCATAATATAAAAATGTCACATATGCTTATAGATATAAGCTACAGATTATTTATAAATTTTGCCTCAGTTTTATTTATTTTGTTTTTATCAATTAATTTTTCATCTTTCATGGAGTCAAAATAAACTTATACTTATAAATGAGTACATTTGCAAAATTTTGCATTACCGATATTTCAATTTGGATCTGGACCGGAATGCTATTTCTTGTACTGACTTATGAATAATTTTGAGTGGACCTGCAGAAGTGCTTTAGTATACAACATTGGCCACTGCATTCGAACTGATTTTGATAGCAATATATAATTGTTTGAATGTGTATGCGAAATGAAAAAGGAGTGTTTTGATTCTACTCCCATTGTGAATTAAAATGATCCCTTTTTTTCAGGACAATCGTTGACGCAACAATCGCCATGGAGAGTTTCCATTGTCTACGATTTATTTTGGGGTCTTGTTAATGTTGTTGTTTTATTGTAAGTTTATTATATTTATACATGGTGCAAATCTAGCTCATTACAAATGTCTTCCTTTGCTTCAATAATTCAAAAAACCTTTATAATATATTTCATATATGTGTAATCATTATTGACCATTGATCAGAATTATTATTGATCATCCTGCATCGTGCTAGACATCGCATCGCGCATCGTGCTAGGAATACGCTCGCCACCATACTTCTGATTACTTCGCGTGGATTTGCATGTTTGAATCCCATGCTGGGATAGCTATGTGCGATAGGATTGCTAGACTCTTCTCCTCGTTGTCGTAGGGTGGTTCATGTAACCGCTGGTCGGTTACGGCTTCCTCCCCATCGAGTCCATACTTCCGAAAACAAATACATGGCTAACTAATCCTATACCCGACATCGACTGGTAATTGGACAAGAGGCCGTGGTTTGCCATATGATCGTCGATCGTTCATATAGGTCGTCCTATCGGCTCTCCTCTCCCCTGAGATAAATATGTAAATGCTATCATAGTGCATACCTGTAAATCATAATAATCTATAATCAGGATGGTTCTTATGTTTTGTCAGATTAATCAGTAATTCTTTTTACCTGGTAATGATTTCCCTGCAAATGGAAAGATTTCTCTATATTTTTAAGACTATTATTATTAATTTTGGATTGAGATCAAGCTATTCAAATAAACTTGCCTGGGCGTCCCTAGTTATAAAAACAACTCTCCAATCAATGCTTGAAACTCAGACATATTTTCTGAAGGTATCACTTGAGCTTTGAATTTGATAATTTCTTTCATTTCCAGCCTTCATGAATCTGTATAGCTTCCACTTAACTTTACTCTAGTTTGGCTGCCCAGGTAACAAATAGTCCCTCACCAAAAATTAATTATTCTTGTTTCACCAGTTTTCAGACAATGATTCAACCAGATTTAACAAGCAAAGGACGAGGAATGGATTCAAGTTATTCCAGTAGGCCTGGAACGTAGGTTTTTTATTATTAGACTGTTTTATATAAGTCGCAATTTCGAATATTTACTTAGAATATGGGTTAATTTTCCATGGGTGTAATTTCTTTTTTGGAATGGTGCTCACCCACATATGTAGCACGATAAGAGAATTTTATGGGATATTTAGTACATTCGAATTAATGTTATGAATCGAGGGGACATGGGCTTTTGAAAAATAAAGTTGTCGTATGGTAAAATCGGGTATTAGGAACCTGTTGCCTGCTTGAAATTTCTCTGCCTATTTTTGTCCCAAATATACTGCTATTGTATGGCGATATAAAACATTGAATGATTATCGCTTATGTACAAGATATTCCTCCAAATGCTCCACCATTAGTGGCATCTGTCTGTTACCACCTGTATATGGTAATTCTGGTTGAGGCTCATCAGGTCATACGCCTGCAAGCTGCAAACAAACTATTTTAAAACCAGAATCTAGAATTTATGTAACCCCATTCACAGAGAAGTTTCACTGTCCCTGTCTAAATCATCAAGCTGTTTGTTATCAATCAATATGTTGACAATTTTGATATATGTAAGAGGATTGTCGGTCAGTAATGGCTTCCTTCACCAAACAAGTCATACAACTGGTTACGGATTTGAACCGTCCATCAGACTGCATATCATCGGTTTAGTGCATGATCAAGACAGCATAATGTCTTTCAGTTACCACCATTATTACCAATGTTAAATCCTACCCTATCCTTTATTATATGCTGTAATTTTCCTTTGCAGTGGGCCAGGAGGACCCGGTGGTCCAAGGAGAAGAATGGGTGGATTTAGGGGCGGGGCTGGTTCACCCAGTCCCCCACCCGCGGCTGGAGGCGGATGAGGAAGGTAAATGCTCACTGGTAGGTTGTTAACCCTTCGTGGTTAGCAACCCCAGTGGGCCTGGGGCCAGGTTGACATGGATTACATACACCTGGCCCCCGCATTTCAGCATGGAGTTATGTTAGACCACAAACATAAATAATGACGCTGCGTTGTTCAACTCCAATCGGAGCCCAATGCAGTTGACAACCTCTGTGCGAACAATTTGTAAAAAGTCTTAAAGTTGTGTATTGCTGCTCTGTTTTTGTATGAACTACTCTGTAGTCTCTGTATATTGTCTCAAAGAACTCGAAAATCATTCAAATTTTGTTTATTTGGTTTTAAAGGCTAAAGTCCATATTGTTAATATGTCCATCTTACAAGGCGCTGTTTAACCAATTTCATCTTTTCCTGTCTATAAATATGTAGGAAAAGATAAGAATTGATAAAGTTCCGGTCATATTGACTTACAATTATTCGGTTCAATTGATTGTGAGTTTGTTTTTTGGGGTGAATATTTGGTGCAGATAAGTTGGGTGTATGGATTCTTACCGTTTTCTAAAGTTTGTGTAAAATCTGATAGCAATCTGTTTTGAGTTTTGTGGTGACTCTAGCTGCATTGCTATCTGGTTTTGCCATATTTCTGTTATCTATTTGTTAAAAAGATCTAGAAATTGTATATATTTGTGCAATAAACTGTGTAGAAAGGAAATTTGTATTGTTTAGTTACATGCGTTGCTCGAGGTCCAGATAGCAAAGTTAGATTAAAATGGAATACTATCTCAAAAAACTGGAATAGCTTGTGGTATGTTTTAAATATGAGGGAATGATGCATTTTTGGGAAGCTAGTTCAGCTATATTTTAAAGCAATGTATCTTTTTTGTTGTATCACATTGTCTAATCAGCATTTCTTGGCATGCGGAAAATATAACAACAGGTACATTTGATTGTTTTTGGGGTAAATGGAGTCTGTTTCGGTAATCGACATGGTTTGGGATTCATAAGCATGGAATTCGCATATTCATCCTGTGGGAGAGGAAAGAGATAAGACCTCGTTGTCATATGGCGAACCACGTCCTCTCGTCCAGTTACCAGTCCATGTCGGGTATGGATTAGTTAGCCAGTGATTTGTTTCCGATGCATGGACTTGATGATGGAAGAACCTGGAGTGAATAGGATTCAAAGTTGTTGTTCCACTGGAAATCAGGTGTTACTGATGCAGAAAACTAAAGGTAGCTGTTTCAGCTTCATTTAGGATATGCTGGAGGTAGAGAAAGCGATCGAAGTGCCGAATAGTTGCGATTTTGCTCACTGTAGGTCTATATTTCTTCGATCTTTCAAAAGACCAGGTGAACAGGCAGCATCATTGATACCTTTGGCCCGGTCAAGTTATCAAAGGTAACATAACAGCGCACGCAGGTGACACCAATGCGTTTATTGCAAAGTTTAGGCAAGCAAATAACGATAATTTCAGATTATTCCACCGATTCACTAAAAAAACATGCAACTGAACAAACTTATTCTAGCATCTGTGCAAGTGCAGCTTGTTGAGTTGCTTATTATCAAATCAAAATCCTCAAACCGATTTGGCGTTGAATCTGACATTCATCTCACATTATTTACCAACTCAGCAGTGTAGTTAGAGAAATTTATTTTTTTAAATAAATAAGCCTATTCGTTAATTAGACCAATTAGTAATAATTAAGGTAATCAATGAAATCGTCATTGGCAAAAGGTGTTATCTCTAAAGAAAATTTTGCCCTTACTTGTATAGCTCAAGAAATGTTTTTTTAAATAATTAACCCTATTCGTTAATTAGACCAATTAGTAGTAATTAAGGTAATCGGTGGAATCATCATTGGCAATAGATTAATAACCCGCTGTTATCTCTAAATTATTTTTTGCCCTTATCCGTTGTAGGAATTGGCTTGTGAGATTAATCTTACCGTAATTACCAGCTCACAATTTCATCTTTGTTGTAGGAGCTTGGTAATTATTAAAAAGCGGAAAAACAACGCCAAGTGGGAAGAAGGTAGTTGGAATTTTCAAGTCTGGTAAGTTTGCTCCTTGACTTTTGGATCAAACCAACTATTTTTAAAAGAAAGATAATCTTTCTTACCCCAGGATCCATTTCCGCGCTCCCTTTGCGCAATAATAATCAAGACCAGGTCATAGTTATGAGGAGGTCAAACTATTCCAATTAGTCTACTCACTGCAGAAAACCAGTTTTGCGGACTCTTGTTTAATTAAAATCACCAGGCTTGCCTTGGACAAATCTTTGCGCCCAAACAGTTGGAATCAACCTAATCTTGTTAACCTCAGGTCAACTGCCGGTGACCAACAAACTCAAACTGATACTTGTCCAAACCACCAAGCAAGAATGAATCAAGTGAATAATTTATTTGGTTTGGAAATACAATATCCATAGAACACAAAAACAACACTTTGTAGGTAAATAACAAATAAAAAAATGTACTTTTTTTCATGGAGCAACCAATTGTAGATACAACAAACGTTTGTCTCAAGCCCTATACAAATAAAAGGAAGGAAAGTCAATAAGGCAGCTGAATCTTTTGGAGTCTGTCGTCCGATTACCAGTCATGCCGGGTAAAGGATAGTTGTATGGAATACATGGACTTGATTGAAGGCCTCTTTTGGGATTTTAAAATAATAGGACAATTGCTCATTGCCTAGCATTCAGAAAAAAACGGAATCTTAACCAAAAAAATTTGGGCAATAGCAATTAAAAAACAAAAATAACAGTATAATAGAACCTAAACAAATAGTTGATGTAATGACAGCAAAGGCAATCAAGTAATAATTTTTGCCTGTACAATTTTCTTGATAATAATACGAGCTGAAAATGAAGAATTTCTAATGAATTCTGACGGCAAATTAGGCAGAATACAGTTACTTAAGAACATACTTAAATATTGCAGATTTCACAATGACGAGCCAGAATGTTTCATTATGAATATGTGACGGAAGAATCAAGCTTATTCACAAATAAAAAATGATTGCACATAGTAACATCAGGAGGAAAACGGAATTGCGTGAACTTGCAAAGTAGCAGAATATAAAAGACCAAAGCTATCACAACAAATATAAGTCGACAAATACAAGCAACAATCATTTAAGACAATGACTATAGGGAAGTACAGTAGGTCATGGAATCAGGGAAAGGGGAAATTTTATAGCCGATTGTTCAATTGTGCCTTAGACTTCTGATTTAAGTCCCAAGACTGCAAAGCTGCCTCTTTCCATTTTGATAGATGCATCTTGCATGAATTATTATGTTTATATTTTGAATATATAGAGCACCAAAGTGGCCTCTAAAAGGCATGATCCAATCCAGCATTAGAACATTAATCGGATCAGAGACAAATTTCTAGGCGCTCTAAAAGTATTAATTCTCCCCTTGGAAGGGTATCACAGTGCAAAGCAGTATTGCAATATTTGAGAAAGAGCATTCATAACGAATTTTTCCCTGTGTGTTATCCAATCCACTAATAGTGAGTGTATATTTGAATTGTATATCAGTAGTTTGAAAAATCGCAGTCTTAGCGAATATATTATTCAAGTTCAATGTGTGGTACTCAACATACACTTTGATGATAGAAGTTTCCATTAGCACGACAGTTTGCATGTTAGCTTCATAAAGAGAACAAATGAGAAATTAAGTTGTAAGATATATTGCAATAAAAGTTTCATAAAAAGTCCAAGTTTATTTCATTCTTTTTCGAATGATGAAAACTTATTTCTTTGATTCGTTTTATGTCCTCCTTAGTAAGATGAACAGGTTCATTCTTTGAATATCGACCTGATGAGCGACAAGATGCTCCGTTGCAAAAACCAAGCTCAATTAAACGAGTATTCATTCGAACAAGAAGCTGCAAATAAAAATGTAAAAGGTCTTAAAAGCAAAACATGGTTTAATAGCTTATAAGCGCATAACTCTGATCGCACCCGAACAAGACAAGACATTATGCTAACTTAATCCCAACAGCTACAACTCAAATCATGCTAAGTTCACACAATAAGAGCGTACATGTACACACACGAAGCAGCGCTTGGTACACTATTACATCGATACCAGTCTGGGATTGGTTGTCATACACATGATCGCTTGCGTGTTGCTGTTTGTAGGGTCGGCTTATATGCAAATTCTTATAAATTCACTATTTTAGGGGTTCGGCTTATATGCGAAGATATAGGTAAATAATAAAACAGGTAGATAACAGTGCATTAAACTGACAGATAACCAAATAATACTGTGATTCCTAGTTACTTTCAAAATTATAGCAAAGGTCAAAATGAGAACAAAATTTGAATTTTACATTTTGCAGCTCCTAAAGAAGAAGTGATTCCAGAACACCTTGGAAGTCGGGAACAAGTAAGGAAAACCTGTGTTATGTCCCAAGACAGAATATTTCTAATATATCAGAGTACTCAAACTCAATTATCAGTGAATCAATATAAAGCTAGATATCTTTAGGAAACAATACAAGATGACTATAAAAATCACTTTTCCAATTTGGTAATTTTCCATCCCTTATAATATTCATCGATATTTTAATATACTGTAGTCATTTTCTTAGTCTCCAAGACTTATTCCTAATACAAGAAATTTGAGCAACTAACCTGAGGATCGCAAGTATCCTTTATATTCGTTAACTGATTGGGGTCAGAGGTTAAATTATACACTTCAACGAATGTCTCTGAGTCAACAAACTCACAATACATAATATTTTTATCAGGAGAACCGGGATCTAATGTCCGAACACAACTGTATGTGTTATTGTAGGCATCTTCGCAAACGCAGTCAGGAAAGCATTGCTGGAAAGTAATATAAAACAAAAATATTGGTTGGCAGAAAAGGATACAGTTTGAGTAGTACTACGTTGTGCATATCAAAAATACCATGATCAAATATTATGATTCGAAGGCATAACAGACTTCGCAAGGGACATGAGCAAATTCTCATATATTTGTTTGATCTTGATAAGTGCTGTGTGTGATTCGAATGTTTCGGCTATCCTAATAGGCCTGTCCAACAGGTTAGAACTATGTATTCTGTGCGAGTATTTCTATTTATGTCATTTTAGAAAATAATGAACACAATGAATGAATAACACAATGCTTCTGTTTGCCTGGAATTCGATACAAAACTACATAATACTAGGATTAGGGATGGTTGTATGGTCCCAATAACATTTAGGCGAGAATATCGGTCGGGGACCTAGGACTTATCGATCGAAACTGCGGTTTCGATTCATGACTCTATAGTGACACCGCGTGTCCAATCACTAATTAATTAAGAACTTGCTAATTATACGACATAATTCATCCAAAATTCATAAGCTTCTGGTCCGAGATACACATGCAAAATTTGGAGCTGATTCAACCACGCCTTCGTGAGATATCGTGAGCATCTAACAGACAGACAGACAAATACCTATCAACATACTTACCGATCTTAAGATGTGGGGTTGTCATATATAGATGGCTAGTTTGAATATTAGGGCAACTACATAAGACGTGTACATGCAGGTTTCAGTACAATTATAATCAATGCCTTTCATAGATCTGCATGATTTCAGGACTAGGGTTCTCAACTTTTTAATCTCCAATTCACCACCTAAAATTTCCTAACCTAAAAAAACTTCTAAGCATATACTAACAATGCTTCAAGCGGCAAAAAGAACTTTGGAAAAGAAAAAGGAACCTGTAGGTGTAAATCCCTGAAATTGATTGTGTTAAGTTCACATAACTACAGTTAAAGCATGCATTAATGCCATTTTTTTACCCCTCGAGTAAAATTCACTCATAAGTCAAATGAGAATGAGAATCAATGCTCAAATATGACACAATATCTCCTAATAATTCCCATGTTATGTATATCTATTGTCCACATAAAAGTGTGAAAGAACAGACGACTAATTATGGCTTGAAAATAGATCAATACATAGTACTTACGCTGACACCAAATCCAAGCTGAGGACAAAACTTTGATACTGCAAACCCTTCTCCTTGATATTCAACAAGAAAGTCTTTTCTCCAGGTATCTGCAGCATTTTTTGATGATTTGACCTGAAAATTATATAAAAGTGAATAAGCGAGCAGACATTTCCCAACAAGGGTTGAAAATAAAGATTGTTCAATGAACTGCTTGTCCATTGGTTACGAATCCGAACTGTCTATAATAATGTCCTATTAAAAGCAACAGTCAGTATGAAATACCTTCGAAAAAATAAATATTCTCAAGTTGTTAAATATTGAAATATTTCGTGAAAAAACTTTGCTCAAAGTGACAAGAACACACAAATTATTTCTGACCGACATAGAAAACAAGAGTTGTTAGAAAACAGTATTCAATATGCATTCAGTCACTAGTTTCATAGTCTGAAATGCCTAATATGACTGGATTGATCAAATAACAATATTCTTACTTGAAACAACGGTCTAATCGACCTTCCATCCATAGTTAAAGGAAAATTGCCAGAACTTCCATTCGCAATATCGATGATAGTAGGAGCAAGATCAATATTCAAGACAGGTTCAGGCCTCGTTACATTCTTGGCTACTCCAGGCCCTCGGACAATTAATGGAACTCTTATATCAAATTCATATAATTGCCGCTTGTCCATGGGTAGACCAAATTGCCCTGTAAAAAATATACAAAGATTAGCTCAATGGTTCTGATCTGAAAAATACCTTTTATTCAAAAACACGCTGAAAATATGTGGTTGGAAATCGCAAATCTCTAAAAAATAAAGATATGTAAATATCTAAAAATAGGTCGGGCAACACGAAATCTAACACAATTTTTTTTATTTAGCTTCACGCACCCTCATATAATTGCATGCGCCCCCATATGGGGCAAGCCCCACAGTTTGGGCACCAACGGATTAGCAGTTCTCAAACCCTGTGTTGTGATTCAAAATATATAATATTAAACCATGCATGCTGATATGATATATCAAGTAACTTAATATTCTCAAGCTATTATTATTACCAGTCAATTCCTCAGAAAATGTGTCTATTTATTTATTCATGTGTTTGTATTGGGTGGCAACTGAATCAGATGGTTGACCGTGAATGGTCGTATCGTTACCACTCGGTCATCTAGCGAAAACTTTTGATTTATTTATTTTATTATTATTTATATTTATTATATGTTTTCTGGTTTGACAAAAAAAAAATTCTCTCTCTCATTATTCCATAACATAACACTAGAGATGGAATATATGCAACACCTCATTCAGGCTAAATACAATGAATTAGTAAGTTAGACTATCAGGCCTTTTCGCTATCAAGGTGATCTCCACAGTTGTCAGTGGCCTGCCAAAGTGCCAGTTCAGACCAGGGTAAGTGATGAAAAATTAACTTATTTTAATAATTTCCGGTGCTAAGATATAGATGATGTTCACTTACTTCATCGAGAAATAAATGAAATACTAATGCCAAAAAATACATAAAAGTGAGCCGCCAAGATAAGCTAGGGTGTGACTATACGACAGGCATTCCTGACACGGCTATGCAACATCAAATACAGCCCATAAGCTTAAAGAACTCTGGAAACCTGTTACAAAAATAAAGTGTTTTAATCCATCTTTTATTCATCTACAAGGCATCCTTGAAAATCGTAAAATTAAATTAGAAACATACGGTAGTATTGCACATTACCTAAATGATATCCATTATCTGATGAATAAATAATATAAGTATTATCTAATATTTTAGTTGAATCTAAAGTCATCACAACTTTTTCCACAAGATCATCTACAGACAGAAGTGTTCTCCATCTCTTCCTGAAAACAAATGAGATATTCATAAGTGACTCAGTTGACGGAGGGGTACAATACTAGGGCAAAACTGATCTTACTTTTCACTTCACAAGGAAACTCATAGTTTTTCCTAATTTCACAGTGTGTTTTCACTTTGTTGAGCATGAATTGTTTGAACATAATGTAATTTGGAATCTACCAATCATAATAACACTGAAAATATCACTGAAATGATTAACATGGGCTCATGAGTGCTGAAAGCATCTAGAAGCCATAAAAGGTTGGGAAACACTGCTATATAAGGTATATTGTGTAAAATTACAAACAGGAAGATTTTTATTACATACCGAAATGCATAGTCAGCCATTTGTGTAGAATTTGGTTTCATTGGAATGTTAGTTTGCCTCATTAACCAGTGTTGATCCTGTAACAACAAAAGATGAGTCAGCAGGTGGAATTTTTGAATTTGTGGAGTATAGATATCTTGTGATCCAATCGTGTGATGCGCAATACACTAGCGCAGTGGTTCCCAACCTTATGTCTCGTGGCACCCTTCCGGAGACTTTTAGCACACATGGCCCCAGTTCCGTTCTGCGCCCAGCATTGTGGCCCCCCTCGAGCCCCACAGGCTCCTGGTTGGGAACCTCTGTACTAGCGGTTAAAGCGTGAAACTCAACTGTGTTAACTGTGGCATTACAGAGTACACATCTCAGGTTCTAATCCTATGCCATCATCCAGGGTGTAGCCAATGCCGGAGAACTCCTGCCTATACAGGGCCATATTTGGAACAAAGGCATGAATAGCGGCATATGAATTTTTTTTAAATGTTTGCTGATTAGTGTTGCTTGTAGTTAGGATAGCAACCAACATCTCAGTGAATCTCATCTCAGTATGGTGAAAATTAAACTACTGATTACAGAAGACGAATTGAATATGTTTTTTACTGCAGATATTTGCAATACGTAAGTTTCTGGCTACTTTGCTCACGAGTGAGTTTTATTGAATCTACAGTGGAAACTTTTATCTTCAATTTGTAAAATGCACCCATAATTTTTAAAAATCAGATAATGCATATAACTAATTATCAATCTAATCGACCATCACACTAATACCCATCTTGAACTAAATATTTCTTCGAAATTTGAATATATCGAGCATATCTGACTTTTAACCAATTAAATTGTCATAGCATTGGAAGATATCTTTAGTTCAATAATTTTTTATAGAAATCCTAGTACAGGAATATCATAAGATGATTCAACCATATGACAAACCAGGGCCTTTCGTCTGATTTTAGTCCCTGTTGGATATGAGAATTAGTTATTTGTGCCAAGATGCATGGACTTGATGGTGAAGGAAGTCTTAACCATACATATAGCAGTCATTTGAACAACTCTATAACAGCGAGGAGTCCAGCAATCCTCTTAACACTTAATCCTCTCTCATGAGATTCGAACCAGTTCAGACATGCAAAAGCAACCATACATGTAACGCTACCGTTCAGCAGGAGGTATTTTCTCACTTACTTTTCCTCTTTTATTATAACTTCCAGTCTTAGGTGCTGTGTTATTCACATAACTTGAATTATATTGTGGAGCAGCATTCCATGGACTATGTGGAGCTGGAGTTGAAATCATCATAAAGAAAGGTTCTTTATGAACATCTTGACTTCGTTCTTTGATGAATTTCACCGACCTGTTGGCCTAAATAAGAAAGAAGTATATTCATCTATCATAAAGGATAGGAGTAATTTTAAAATGAAGTAGAGTACCTCAAATGTTGAACTAAACCCCCCCATAGTCGCACTCATATGAAGATCCCCCCTCAGGCTTTGGTTATTTAACTTAGATTTAGTCAGTCTTCCCAACACTGGCAGATAGTTGGAGCAACGATATTGGGCTGCAAATCTCAAATATTCCCCGATACTATTTGCCCGCTCATCAACTGACCAATGACAGAACAATATTGGTAATTGCATTTTTCATGTTCTGTTGGTGTGTCTATGAAGTTACTTTGGTTATGGTTATTTACTAATTATACATTTATACACAAGTATTGCTTGTGTTAAAAAAATAATTTATATCGATAAGCAATAAGTTAAAAATGTTTTGAATGAAGGTATCTGCAAAGTTATATCAATCTATAGGCAGTATTGTGGGAGTCAATCTATAATGAAAATCACTGTTTTTATTCTGTATTTAGGCATTATCAAATTTAAACTCTTGAGTTGAGGTTGAACTATCAAACAATGACTCAAGTCGAGGATTGAAAACACTTTAAATTATTGCTTACTATTAAATCAGTTAAATAATCTTTGTGATAGTCATCTCCATGCTTCACTGCTTTTCCATCGTAAGATAATGTGTAATTGTAATATCTTGAGTTACCAACCTAGAAAATAAAATAAGGCACTATAAATATTACTTGATTTAAGGAGTGTGGAAATACAAAACAGTGTTTACAAGTCAAGTTCATTTTTTCCAACCAGTATTATTCAATCATACTCAAATTACTAGAAAAAGATAAGAACTTAGTTTAATCGAAAAAGGAAGTCGCAGGGATCCCGAACTGAATATCATGCAGGTTCTAAAATTTGATTGAAAGCAAATAAAATTTTAGCTTTCAGTTAACCATGAAGCATTTAAATGCCTCACCAATTCTTAACAAATACATAGCTTATAGTTCTAATACATATTTTTGTTGATTACATAATTCTATATGAATATATATATATATACTCACTGACAAATATGGCACTAAATATATATTATTATTGAAACACAAAATAAAGTTAATGAGTAATCCCAACTGCATTCCATATAAGTAATCTTAGAGTATCGTATTCAGACCAGACAGTACATGCTTGAGGGCACTCACTTCAGAAATTTATATTATAACCTTGTTGGTATTAGATTCGACAAGTAAACAAGTATAAACAATTATTTTAAGGAAGCGTGTGTGTTGGTTTATCAAAGAACAGTAGCTGTATACCAGTGTTCGGTCTTCAGTCAGTACTAATGTTAAATATTAGTTATTATATAGATATTATATAAATTCAGCTCAGGCAAAATTGAAGCTTTACAATAAAAGTTCGAGATGAGAGTAATTTTTGCAAATCCAGAAATTGAAATAGATGTTTATTCAAAAAATTAGCCATGCTTAGCCATTAAAATGTCTTAGTAGAATCAAACTTTGGCTTCACTGTTTCAGATTTGAATTGATATACTAGCCAATTATGGAAATACTTATGAGGTAATGATCAAGTCCATATTTCTGTAGAATGCACTACATGGGACTGGTAACAAAGGGGAGAGGCTCGCAGGCTTAGAGTAGTCATTTTTCCCAAAACAATATTTCAACCTTTACTTTGAATTTATCAAAGCGGGTAGTACAGAATTTTACTGATTAATTTATTGTAAATGTAAAAAATTAATTATTTGATTTTAATAATGCGTTTAGAAATACTAGATTACATATCAAACTAAAAAGAAACTGACTAAAATACCGAGGAAAATATCAGCAAAGATTGGGAGTTCTATAATAAAAGCAGACAGTATATTAATGTTGTGAAAAAAACATTGAAGAATGGAAGAACTTAGTTATCAAGAGGAGGAGACAGAACTTGCAGAACAGCTAAAAGCAGTGTGCACTCCATACGGTGATGAAAGAGAATCACAGCTGCAAGAATCGGCAGAAATTTTGTTCAAAATGGGAACACTGTATTTGATAAAAGCAACAGATCTTAGGTGCAAAGGAATGGATCAGAAATTGTTCTTCATTCAATCTGCAGCTTTGCTACATGGGGCAAGAATCCGTTTTGAATCGCACTTGAAAAATCAAAATAAGGGTAAGAAAGTTAGAAAAATGATCAATATTATGGGCATCAAGCTTCTTGAAAAATGCAATGCAAAAAATAAAGATGAAAATTTGATGGAAATATCAGGAAGTGTAGCGGCGAAATTTCATTTATTGAGAAAAATAGAAAGTGAGCGCATCGCAGAATTCGATGTGCTAGAAGATGATCTTGAAGAAACAATTCGTCATGAAAAAGAATTGAAAAAAACAATCAACGTTTTCAACCTCATGCTTGAGAACACGAATAATTACAAGCGATTGATGCAATATACCGCTGCTAAATGTGTTTTTATTCTAGGAGATGCCCCATGCAGTTTCGTTGTAGTTGGTCTAGGGTCACTAGCCAGAGCGGAAATTACGCTGTATTCTGATTTTGAGCATGTTATTGTTTTGGAAGATTACATAGAAAATTCTCCTAAACAGCAGGAAGCACAGGAATATTTTCGTTGGTTTGCTGTTGTTTTTCAAATCATAATAATCGGTCTCGGGGAAACTTTTATTCGCAGTGTTGGCATTAAAAGTATCAATGATTTATATTCAGAAGATAAATCAAAGAATTGGTATTTTGATATGTTCACACCAAGCGGAGTTTCATTTGACGGGAGAGCCCCACATTCATGCAATATCCCATTAGGACGTCAAGAGATTACAAAAAATAAAAAGCATTTACTTGAACTAATACAGCCGGCAAATAGAATGGCAAAGTATTTAACAGTCTGGGAGCATATTAAAAATGGATATTATTTAAAAGATCTTTTGTTCAGAACTTGCTTTGTTTATGGAGATACTGAACTCTACAGTGAGTTCAGACAATTATGCGAGACCCAAACTATACAGAATTATAGTAAGTCTCAGACGAATGAAGAATTGCGTAAGAGCTTGATTGATAATGTTAACGAATCAGTTTCAGGTGCCAAAACATTTCTTCCTACGCATCATGAAATAAAAAGCCAGATATATAGGCCCATAATGACAATCTTGCTCTATCTCGCACGACTTCATGGGTATTTTGAAGGTTCAACGATCATGTTTTTATTTTATTTTCGTAAATTTTGTAAAACTGAGCGATTTTACAAAAAAGTGATTTATGCTTTTACAATAGCATGTGAAATCCGTGCAAAAACTCATGCTTTGAAAGGCCAACAGGGCCGTGAAATTTCATCAGAGATACTGACAGAATTTGCCAGCAAAAAATGCATCATGAACTGCCTTGAGGTCATTTCGTCCTTACGTGAATATGTCAAATCCATCATTGAATACAAAGAAACACAGAGTATAAAAGAAGGCAACTTGCATGCTGAGGCAAAAGATATGATGGCTATTGGATTGTATAATGAAGTCATGAACAAACTTGAAAGCGAAGTACAATCTAAGGATTTTGTTATAAATGAAGAGACTTGTCAAATCCTAGCGATGGTTCATATGAAAATTGGTATGGATAATAATATAACAGAACGAAAAATGGTACATTTTCGCAAATCCGAGACATGGATACTCAAATTTAAAGAACTGATTGAGGAAAATGATAATTGGGAAAATCATTGTCGGTACCATTCCATGATATGTAAAAATATGTGGCATCAGCAAAGATTTAAAGAACTACTGTTACACACTGAAGATTGGATAAAATATCGAAATAAAATAATTCCGGACTTGAGTCCTCAGGAAAAAAAAGAAATGAAAAGAATAGCATGGGAAGAGAGGATGGCCGTATGGAGATCAGACGCAATTTTACATTCTATGTCATTGCAAGAAGTTGTAAAATACGTGGATAACACAAAACATGAGGCATTGGATGTACATTCAAAACTGATGGATCAATTTACAATCACAAAAGCAAATTTAGCCATGGAAAAAATCGAAAGCGCAAGACAAACTTTGTTAAACTTGGTACAAAAATGTGCAAAAAAAATTATTAACATAGGGAAAGATCATATTTTAGAGTTGTTAGCGCAAATCCATAACATTCAAAGCCATTTCAGATGGAAACCTGACGTACTTTTCACACTTCACTTAACAAATCAGATTATGAAAGCAAGTTAAATCAATATGAAGACCACAAGACTGCGCTCGTTTACACATATATGTGTATAGCAAATTGTTTATAAAGATCTTGAAAAAACGAATGGAGCATATTGTACTTGCAATCAGAGCATGTGAAAGGCCACCTATCACAGAGAAAACGTTACGATAGTTACAAAGTGTGCTGCCAGGCACACTGGAACCACACACAAAAATATCTTGGGTATTTTGTAAAGTATGGAAAATATGTGATGAATTCGCCAGACGTAATTCAGCAAGATAGAAGAAGTAAGAGACGCATATATTCAGATCAATGCATCTAGTTTTGTGCAACTGTTATCAAAACTTGTGAAAACTGTGCTGGGGATGTCACTTATTTGACTGATACTGTACAGATATGTCACTACTTTTTACTGTGTTTAGTCGATATATCAGTAATCCATGTTTCACACAGTGGTTGAAAAGATTCAAAACCGTTTTTCTTGAAGTTTGTAAAGAAGGTTCACTGGAATGCTTCACCCAAAACACAAATCCCTGGAACTTAAAAACTATAAATCAGCAATCAACAGCCTTTGGAAAAAAATTCAAAAGCCAGGGTGTTCTCAAGGGTCCACGGCAATAAAAATTCACCAATTATATCAATTTATAAAATTCCATCCATATTCAATGCTGCAAACCTGTATTTTAAAAAGAAATAACGCCCTGATTTTAAAGCACTCATTGCCTGCAATAAATGAAGAAACTAAGAACTACAACTCTACACTAACTTCACAAGACTTGGAAAATAATGCGAAGATTTATTGGAAGATAATTAAAACTGAGAAATCTGGGTCCTATCTACAACAAAGATGTTGGTATATGCTTCGCCTATGTATTATCAGTGCTCAGAAAATTGTCTGATTTTCTTTAAAACCTTTCGTCTTTTTCTGTACATTACTTATGATCCAAATATTCGTGGAGATATTGTGAAATGAAATACATCATGTCGCACAACAGAAATTATCACAGGTTTCATTAATAACTCGAAGATGAAGAATGATTTCTTCTTTTCTGTTTAGAAAGCTCAGGGAATGAATAGACTGAGAAGTCTTTGGAATTCGTGTCATTGTCAAGGTTCTAGCTGTATTTACATAATTAGTAATGGGAGCGGCATACAGTGGCTATACAAATTGTTTGTGGAAACTAATTAAAACCCCCATTATGTTTTCGTGCACTTCCCTAATTGTGGTGCTGCATATTGTTTATTCTGCGTCTTTAATTATTGTTGCATATCGTTCTCAAAATATAGTTATTTACTTTGATTCTTAAATCCGAAGAACTGTCAAATGATCTTGGATGTATTTTTGCTTAAAGTTTGGTTAAGCGTTATCATCCTTTTATTACATAAATTAGTATAAAGATTACAAATATACTGTGAACTGTCCCACTAAATTAGTGAGAAAGCATATTCCTTTGCAGTGGGCAATAAGCTGGATTTTTGAACAGACGACTATGAAAAGGCTTAAGTTGATCAATGCTCAATGCCAGGATTTCTCAAACCGGGCCCTCAGCCCCTCAATGGACCTTTCCCCAACCTTTGACCCCTGAAAAATTCCTTCTATAAATTACCACTGTAAAATTTTCGGGGCCAATTTAAGGGTGCTTTTGCAAGTTGGCGCTCGTAAAATGGGGTATGTGTTACAAACCATCATTATGATTCATCGCATACAACATTCTGTTTTTTAAAAGTACCTGTCAAGAATTTTAGCCTAGTCTATCACAGCTATTTCTACACTATATTTTTATAACTGCAATTAAATTAAAACTTCTAGGAAGACAGAGTGACATTGAATTATCTGATTTATATTTAAGTTTCCGAAACACAGCAGAAAACTAACGAATAGAGTACAAACGAGGTAATGTTTACGACCACGCTTAAAAATCTGTCTGAGTGAGAAAAGTGTCTGAGCGGATGCGAAAAGGGAGCATTGTTACGTCACTTTTTGCATCTTGCTGATTGGCCAATGTTACAAAGTAAACAGGAAGTCGATGCTCGGGGAAAGGTCCATAGGGTCACAGAGTGTTACGTAGGAGGACTACAAGCAAAGGCTTTGGGAAGTAAATTGATTTTTTTATTTTTGACAGCAATGTATTCAATTCTTTTGCTATCGTTCGTTGGCTTTGCAGGCAAGGGAGTGTTGAGTTTTTGAAAGGGTTGCTGATGGTTTAAGGAACATTATTCTTTGGATTATTTTCCAATTTGGTT